TATTCTGCACAATCTTTCAATAATATATTGCATGCCTGAAATAAATCTCATTTCTCATTGCTGGTACTAATAAAAGGTTTATATTTACCTTTTTGTCCCTCCCTGAAATTGGGTGCAAGAGCTTGTATGGAATTTTGCTCTTAATTTGCTTACAAAATATTTTAATATTGCTACTTGCATATTCCCAAGTCAGAGTTTGGCTTTCAGGCTGAGCTGTGCTAATGTATATAGCACATTTTGCCTATGTAGTATAGCTCTGAACATTTTTTATAGCATTATTGCATGGTTTGGGTTGGAAGTGATCCTAAAGATCATCTAGTTCCAACCTCCCTGCCATGAGCAAGGTACCTGTCATTAAAGCAGGTTGCTCAAAGCCCCATCTAGCCTGGCCTTGAACACTGCCAAGGATGGGGCATCCACAGCTTCCCTGGCCAGTCTGTGCCAGTGCCTCACCACCCTCACAGTAAAGAATTCCTTCTTGATATCTAACCTAAATCTACCTTCCTTCTGCTTAAAGCTATTCTCCCTTGTCCTATCACTATCTACCCTTGTGGAAAGTCTCTCTCCAGATCTCTTGTAGCCCCCTTCAGGTACTGGAAAGCTGCTATAAGATCTTTCCAGAGCCTTCTCTTCTCCAGGCTGAACAACCCCAGCTCTCTCAGCCTGTTCTCATAGGAGAGGTGCTCCAGCCTAATCCTCTTCCTGGCTCTCCCCTGGGCTTGTTCTTACACATCCACATCCTTTTTGTGTTGGGGGCCACAGAGCTCTTCTAGGTGCTTGTAATGTTGCTTTTGCATAAGCTGTGCTGGTGTGCTCAGGAGGCCAAACACTGAAAATGGTCACAGAAACTGCACTTGGTAACCAGCAGGGGATTAAGAGTAGCTTCTGCTGTTAGGAATCCTAGCATCTTTCTGCAGAAAAACAGTTGTGGACTTAGGCTGGAACCCCTGGGGCCACCATGCCACCTAAACCATCCTAATGACTGTCAGAGAAAGCCTGATAGACTGAAACTGAAGAAATTGAAATAGCTATCCTCAAAAAGAGGACATTTTGTCTGGAGGAAGCCTAAATTACATTCTGTTCCCCAGTGAGTGCTGTCATTACCCTGCATGCTGCTAAAAGTCACAGCAGCCCCTGAGCCAGAAAAACGCCTGCACAGGGATCCTGAGCATCAGGATTTGGATCTGAGCTTTGGATTTTTCATGGTTTCACAGCAGTCCCCAACAAGTGCTCTGGAGCTAGAGGACCTAGAAGCCTGAAAAATGTGGCTCCAGGATCCTGTTGCTGGAGGGAGCACAATATGCAGAGGATGTGGAAGTGACTTTTTTTTTTCCTCTCTGTGATTAAGAAAACAAAACTGAAAGGAAAAATACAACAGATTATACAAATTTCTTTGAAATTTACTGTTATGAAACCATTCTAACAGAAAACTCCCAGCCAGCTCCACCTACATGCACTTCATACAGCTCACTGGTATTTGCAAAGGCTGCCTACAGCCAAGCCTGCTAAAGTCAATAGTGGCAAATCCCATCCTGTTTGCCATTTTGAGTGTAAGTCTGATTTGATCAAATTCTTTTCCTTGGCTTAAGTTTTGTTTAAAGGGCAAGCCTGATTCCCTGAGTATCATTACATAACAGTAATATCTGTTTTTCCAAAAATTTTATAACATTAGCATATTGGAATTTTACTATTGGAATTTTACTCCAGCATGGAGTTATCAAGTGATTAACTTGAAGGCAAGCAGAGAGTGACTGACAGAGCTAGGAACAGTCCTGTCATGTCCTGATATTCTTACTACATTTACACTTAAACTGACCTGACTTTGTGCAGAAGTCAGCAGTAATTATTATACCATTCAGTAATCAACAAACTGTTAGCAGCAGCAGGGTTTTGTCCAAAGGAGGTGGAGCCATATGGGAGCAGAAAGCCCAGAGTGTCTGAACACAAAGCATGTGAGTTAAGGAGGGACCCAGACATGAGCAGCTCAGCAGTTAGTGCTGGGTATTGTGAATCCCTTTGCAAAGCCCCATGTGTAAAGAGCTCTTTTGAATTCAGACAACATCTGTAGTCTTCACTTGAAACAGAGCTTATTTCCTAATGTTGGCCCACGAGCTCTGTCGGGTCCATGTCCCTGATGTCAGTCCAAATCTCCGATACCATTTATTCCTATGCTTGTCCCTTCTCTCCCCAGCATGCATCCACAAGGTGAGGACACCCCAGGTTCTCACAAGGTTTGCCAGCAGAGAAGAACTGCCATGGGAGAGGACTCAGATGGCTCTCCAGAAACATCCTCCTTTGGCAGCTTGGCATAGCAGCCAGAGATGGTTAATGCCTAACACAGAAGCCCACAGAGACTAACTTTAGCCAAAAGCATAAGGATATTGGCTGCCAAAATATTTTTAGAATGGCTGTATCCTCCAAGAGGGAATGAGGTGAGGGATTCCTGGAGGCCATGGCTCAGAGGGCTCAGACCTGCTTTTCTACTGCTTCTCATAAGTAGTGCACAGGGCTTTCATACCAGCATATGAGTTTGGCAGTGGATTTGATACAATAATCTGCATTAGGAGTGTCAGGCTATCCTGCCATCCTGAGGCAGTGTGGCTGTGCATTCTTCTCTGCTCATTAGAGACCTTCTTGTATCAGGTCACACACAGTATGAGGTATGAACCCTGCCTCCAGACTGATTCTTTAGGAGTCCCCGTGTTCTTGTCTGGCTCCTGTCTGCCTTCAAGGTTCTATGCATGCTGGGATCATGGGCATATCATAAATCTGCTCATAGCATCATAGTGTTTGTGAGACCCTGTAGTGCCTCATAGAGCAAAATGTGTAAACTGTGGTGGGAATGTCCTGTGACACTGCTGACACTCTCTCTGAGCCTACAATTGTTTCAGCACAGGCTTTGTTTCTACAAGGAGCTCAACTCAAAGTGATGGTACTTATACTCAGGAAAGAGCCTGGCATCTCCTGATGCTGTTCTCAAGAGCAACTCTCAGCTCAACATCTCCTGAATAAATGGAGCAAACACTGCAGGATCCAGCATAAAGAAGCTAACATTCTTTCACCACCTCCCTGAACATCCCACCTCTCCTGCACTGGAGAGCATTAATGACTAAGAATCCACACGAAGGAGCCCAGCTGTTCTGCTCCAAGATCTGGCAAGAGCTGGATGTGAATGGGAGCCAGAGAAGCTCGATGGCATTAACTTTGCAACGTGATCTTCATTCTTCCCCACAGCAGGAACAGACTGCTGGGAGCTGAACAGCTTTAGAGGACAGGTGGTCTTGGTCAGGACTCTGAAGAAAATGCTTTCTGGGGGTGGTGTGTGTTTACACGGGCTGTGTCTGAGGGGGCTGGTGATGACTAGAATGCTCGCTTGTCTTCTCTGACTCCACTCAAAACTTTTACTTTTTGGAGCTGACAGGCTCTGCACTTTAGATGAAAAAAGAATGTGGCTGCAACTTTTAGAACCAGAAATTATATGGGGCTGAACAAGGAAAGCCAAGAGTGCTAAGGTTTGGATTGAAAACTAATTTTTTTTAAGCAAGACTCTCATAGCAGAGAGCAAATGATTGGAAACACCACAGTAGGTCCTGTACAGGAAAGGGCATGGAAACTAATGTGATCAAAAGGGCTTCACAGGAATGGCAGTGTTTTCTGAAACAGCTACAGCCACGTATCAAATGAGCTCTGCTCTACTTGGTCATGCCTGTCACCACAGACTCAGCAAGGAGTGGGTGAGGCTCTAGGCAGGGGTCTCAGAGGTACCTCAAACCTCTGTGTTACCACAAGCACTTATTCAAGTCTAGGTTCCACAGAAGTGCTCATGTCATGGTGATTGCAATAGCTAAAAGAGCCAGTATCCCTCAGGAACTTGGCCTTTAGTATCAAGTACAAGTCCTGAAGGAGTAACAATCATTCCCCAAAAGTGTGAGCGTGCATTACAGTAGCCTCCATTTAGGTTTTTGGCAAGGGATGATTTTTGATAAACTATCTCTGCCCTCAGTCACTTGTGTTGCAAAAGAGAGGAAACACTCTAACCTTCTTCATGCCTCCTGTGATGTCCCAGGACACATCCTCCCAGCTCCATGCCCAGCTCCTGCCACAGGTCATGCAGAAGTGCTGGGACAAGCTATTCATTACAAAGGTCTTTGGCCTTAATTTATTCCCCATGAAAGAGTCCTGGAAGTTCAAATCACCTCTCATTGTTGCATTTTGTCAGTCCTCACATTACTCTTGGAAATGTCAAAGGAAATCATAACAAAAGTGGCTGATCAACCAGCTCCAAGAACCAGAGAGTAGGTTTCCAGTCCTGCTCTCTGGGCCTCTTTGCTTTTGCAGTAGTTCCACCAGCTAGGAATAATTACACAAAATTATGACGTAATCCCTACTGAAAACCAAATCTTTTCATTCCCTTCCAGCCAATTGGAAGTTGCCCCTGATGTTTTCTAACTCCCTGCCTCTGTGAATGAGACCGTATCCATGAGAAAATATGCTTGGATCACTCACTGTGATTTATTCATCCGGAGGCAATTTGGAGGCTGTTGCTTACAATTAGCCACTTGATCTTTATCAGCATTGTTCTTAGCCCTTAGAAGGCTGTGTCTCTGGATACAACCTTTCCGGTACTTGGATGGCCTATTTAATTACACAACTGGACCTGTTTGTGCATGGGATACTGGAGTGAATGAAATCCTAACAATCCTCAACATTCATTTTCTCTATCAGTAGCAAGAACTAATATTTACCATAAGTTCTCTAATGTGTCCCTTGGAAAAAAATCACAATATCATCCTGCAGGGGAGAGCACTGTCTGCTCAGGGGGAAGATTATAGGGCAAGAAGCAGGTGTGCTCATTATTACATCAAATTACAAATGAGAGAGTAAATAATCCTGAGGTGTTTCATTGTGGAAATGTCATCTTTCCAAATAAACAGGGACAAGCCCAAGCAATACTGGATGGAAAAGGCACTCTAAACAAATGCATATTGCTGTGAAAAAATGTTTCTGAAGGTGCATTAACTGAAACAAGAGAACAATATATAATGATATAGATTCACCTTGGCATAGCTGACAGAATATTTCATTCAGCCTTTTAGCAGGGATCTGAGCTGAATTTCATACAGGAAGTAAGATCTGGCATTGCCCATTTTAGAAAAAGAGATTGCAATTACCAAGCACTGAGATGAGAGTATAGGGAAAGGAAATGAAGGGAACTGAAAAGCAGAAGAGTACTAAGGAAGTAGCAGGGCAATTTGATTGGCTGTGAAATGCAGTTTCTGAGCTCTTGAAGGAACCCAAGTGGAAAGTGGGAGTCGTAAGAAAGCACAAGTGGGATTCTGCCTGGTTGATGTTGTCATCATTCCTGCCTCCTGGGGCCATGCTGCCTTGGCAGTGCTTTGCATCACCAGCAAACAGCATGGAAGACCATGCAATGATTCCCATGAAGGGAAGTGTGTAAGGCAGTTGCCTCAGATGTATTTGAGTGTATAATCCTCAAGGAAGAACAAAGCCTCTTAATGAATTTGGAGGGAGGGGGAAGGGAAAGAACAAAACTGTAAGCATTGAAGAATGCTGATTATTTCAGCTAAGTCTCACAGTAGTTTTAAGGTTACCCCAAAGCACTGCAAGAGCTGCAGTCTGTATGCTTGCACCCCAGAAGTACAAACAGTGTATCAGCAGTCTTCAGAGAGGACTGAACAGAAGGGCAGGAAAGGGAAGGAAAAAAAAGCAAAGTTGTATTTTGGGAGGGTTCCTGCAAATGAAGCTTACGACGACGTGTTTTCAGGCCATAGACACTGGAGAGAGGCCAAGCAGGAACAATTATGACCTATTTTGTACTTTTCTTAGGACTGTGCTTTGTTTTGGAGGGTTAGCAGTTGCATACAACCCATCACTCAATTCTGAAGAGGTAGGTTTGGTGTTGGCATCTGTTGTGGGAGGTGGGTGGTTGTTGCGTTTGGGGATCTCCTTTATGTCTTTGGTGTTGTTTATGGTTTATTTGGGTGGCATGTCAGTGGATTAAGTTTATTCTTTTTCTTTAGTGGCAGATCCTTGTCAGATACTTGGGGGGATTGGTTGTGATGGTGTGGGAATAGTTTTAGTTCTTGGAGGTAGTTTTTGGGGGAGTTTACTGAATGCTGATAGTTCGGGGTGGCTGCTGTTGATAGTGGGATATTCTTTCTGTTCAAACAGATTTTAGTGTAGCTATGATTTATTCTTGCAGGGTGAGGATAGTTTTGGTGGGGGCTGTTACTACCTTTATTTGTTGTTTTGGAACTTGTGTGAGGGTTATCTGACAGGGTCATTCAAGCAGTTTAAGGGTAGAAATCAGAGAACAGTTTGATGCAAAATACCAGCTTTGAGAGTTGGAGATAGAGGTTTAAATCCTTTTTTTCTGAGGTGATTTGTGGAATTCTAAGAAGAGGTGTAGTCTTCACTCATTGGTTCAGAAGACCAATGTTTTTTCTAAACTATTAGAGTATTTTTAGAAATTGAGTATTTTGTTTTTCTAGAGGTCCAGTAATGGGGAAGAGGATTAGGATGGTGGTGAAGTAGGTGAGGGAGGCTAGCTCACCTAGCCAACAGTGATGAATGGTTGATAGAGACAAAGATCCCAAATCTATAATCTACTTTGGGCCCTTCTCTCAGTTCTTCTAACTCCAAAAAACCCAAAAGTTACATCTCACACTCAGCTCAGAGGCAGAAAGCATCTCCATCAGCAAATATTCCATCCCCCTACTCTGTGACCTTTGGAAAAGGTGGGGGTGAGCTTGAAGTGTGCCAATGGTGCAGACTGGTTTTTGGGCTGCAGGCAGTCATTATGTGCTGAAGAGCTGGTTTATGCCATGCTTTAGAGGAGGCTTTTCAGAAAGACTCAGCCTCCTCAGTGAATCAGTGGTGAAATGACAGGCAAAAGTATCTTTGTCCCCTCCAGTGTGGGGAAATGCCTGAGATGTAGCTTGGTCCAACCTGTCCTCCTGACACTGATTCATCCTTCCACATGGCAAGCCATACCAGGGAGAATCCTATGGATGGTTTCATCTCTAAGATGCCTTAGCAGGCTGAGAAAAAAGTTCAATATTGTTTTGAGGTGGGCAAATAGAGATGGCTATGAATATATTTAATGTAGTTTAGAAATACACTTCTTTTCCTGTGGCAGGCCTATCCTTGGATAGATTGCATTTACAAAGAGACAATTTCTTGTTTATTTAGATGTTGGCTATGCCTGGGGCTGTGCTCTGGGCAGAATACCATGGAGTTTTACTAGATATGTTTCACTTTCTGAAAAACTAAAAGAATTGTCTAGTTAATTGACACTGAGAAAATAACAAAGCAACAAGAGGAGTTGTCAGTAAAGCAGATGTTCTGTCTCTTTCAGCCTTGCTGTCAGTGACACTCACTAGAGTTTCAAGACACTATAAAAGTATTATGAGATCAAACACTGGTAAATGGTATGAGCACCTTCCTCCCAGAGAGTGTGTGATTTACCCAATCCAACATTCTTACTGATGGAACTGAGGGAAAGGCCAGTCTTGGGGACCTGATTTTTGCAGGTTGATTTACAGCAGCTGTTGTTTAGTGGCTGTTTCAGATGTTTGTAGCAATATCCATCCTCAGCCAACAACATCATTTTTCTCTTAGGTGTTTCTGTCCTCCCATGAGGCATCTTAGCTGTTTGTGTAACACGAGCTGCACAGCTTTAGTTTATTGCTCAGTGAATTAAGACAACCCAGAACTGATGTTAGGATATTTTAAATCACCACACATAGTGCTTGGTGGTTTGGCAGGTGGTTTCTCTGTGAGCATTTCCAACATCTTTCTAACCAAGGGAGAAATCTCCAGAAAATATACTGAAGTGAAAACTGGGAGCAGAAATCTCTACCTCCATCTCAACACAAGCCCTTCAAATTCCTGCACTGGTCACTAACCAATACAGATTGCCTTTTAAGCACATAATTTTCCTGGAAAGGAGTGTACTGTGGGGCAGTGACTATGTTATTGGGCAGGATGTATGTTTGCTAACATCCTAGCAAACATCTACACAGCATCACAATGTTCTTCTGACCAGCTCAGTAAAACAAGAGAGGGCATTATGCCCCCAGAACTGAACTCTGAAGTGATTTATTAAAAACATCTCTATATTATGTTGCCTCTCAGAGGCAGTTCCAGGAAAGTTCTGGAAAACAGCCACCTCTGAGACCATTCTGTGGTCACACTACAGAGCTGCTGCATGACAAGATAAAGGGTGGTGCTGTGTTAAGCTTCAGCCTGTAGCCCCTAATGGATCTGCAAAACCAAAGAACTGCCACACTGAGTGAAAGGTTTTTGTGTGGCTCTCAAGACACACAAAATCCCTTGGATTGTAACAGTGAAAAAAAGCCAATAGCCTTAGTGGGTATATATGTCCTTCAACAGTAGAAGCAGGGTTTTATTTCCTATCCCATACACATATCCCAATAGGAGGGACAATGGAAATGTGGTGGAGGAGTGGCAATAATCTCCTATCTTTGACATGACCACACAAAAAATGTGACCTTGACACAAGTGAGGAAGAACTCTGTCCCTTTAAAAAAATCTAAAAAATCCCTTTATAAAACAAGCCATTTTCCACTGGAAAATTCAAGTGAAGCCCAACAAACAACCAAAAAAAAAAAAAAACCCACAAAAAACCAAAAAAAACCCCAAAAAAACACCCCCAAACAAACAAACAAAAAACCCCAACAAACAAACAAAAACCCAACCAATCAAACAAACAAAAAAGACCCAATGGCAATCCCAGGAGCAGGAAAATTAAGAGTCATATTTCTATTTGGAACATTTTCTCTAGCTGGAATAGGACTAATTTCTAGTACAACACTGCAAGAAAGGACTCAGGGGTTTTTATTTAATTATACCTGAAGTTCTCCATTGTAATCATGCAGTGTAGGTAAGGTATAACACGTGAGCTGTAAATGGTGAAGTGATTACACACTGATATAATGTAATTATACACTTACACAGTGATTATGGCACTCCTTGAAATCTATTACTAAGAATATTTCTGACAAAATTATATTAAAAAAAAACCCTCCAAGCATGCTACTAGAAAACTCTGCATTACATATCTAAAGTTAGGTAAGAAAACCTAAACCTAGGTTCAATGCCCAGAACCTCTCCCCAGTGCCTCATCCTCAGCTCTGCTGGGTTTCAAACTCTGTCGAGCTTATGCCAAGCACTGACAGCTGGGCTCCTTTCTCCCACAGCAGAACAGGGGTGAGGTGTGGTTGGTGGGATGTTATGCTTCCTCCCTATTTTAGATATAAGCAGACTCTGACAGGATGAGCACATCCCTAAGAGCCAGCCCAAGTCACAGATATATGGGGCCAAAAAGGATGGAAGTGGATTTTATCAGCTGTGAGGAAAGGCCTGAAAGCTATATTCAGGGGCCTGTTGGCACACAGTAAGGCCAGCCCTAGCAACATCAAAGGCTACAGCAAGGAGTTAGTTTATACAGTTCTGTCAGTTGGATTAGACTCTTCATTAGGATGCAGAACAAACCTCTCCTACTTGGCAGACAGGAGCAAGAAACAGAATAAAAATGGAAATCAGATCTCAGCCCTGAATTCCCCATTCAGTGAAGCTCTACTTATTTGCGTAGGAACTCCAGTTTGCCTGGCTTTGTTTGAAATAAAGGTAACAGGAAATTTCTGGGCAGGATGAGGTCAAGGTCCCTTGCTTTGGGGCCAGCAAGCCCTGGGAGGACTCTGAGTCAGAACAGCCCGTTCTAGGAGGAGGACAAGCACAGGGCAAGAGCATTTGCTATGGGGTACCAGCAATACTGTCTCTACAGCTGCGTCCTCAGCAGGCCAACTCAACAGGGCAACTTTGGAAAAGACCTTTCTTAGTTTGAGTTGGGCAAGTAGTTGTCACACTGCACAGAGTCATGGGCATTCTGACACAAGAGTGGATGGTTTTTAGCAGGCAGGTTGTGCACTAGTCAGCTTCTTACTTTTCCCCTGCATCTTTTGATGAAGTTGCTGGTTTGTCTCAGTGTATTTGTATGCTAGAAGAACAAGATTATCTAATTTTGTGGGTTCCTAATGCCTCTGACAGCATTAGAATATACAAAGGTCAAATAGAAAAGCCTGAGTTTGCTCTCAGTCATGTCAGCATGGCTAAGGGGTCACGGGGAGGGGGATGTAGGTATACTGCAAATTCATTTTAAGGTCAGAAAGAGCCCAAGTATTTAAAACAGGAGTTAGTTTTATCTACCTACTGTATCATGACAGCAAAGTATGTTTATTTTAAGAAGGTATTTCTTGCTATCTTTAGGATTTGTGTTTATTGTGTTTTGGGTCAGAAGATAGAAGGTTAGCATTTGTTTTACAATTTCATATAATTTTTTTAAACGCTCTCAGGAGTGAAATAATACATATCTATCTAAAATATTTCTGGCCCCGAAACAGGACTGACTGAAATATATTAGCAGCTGTCAGAAAGATAAATGCCTATGTTTCACTCCATGCTGTTGAAACCTTTAATTCACTATATTAGCCCTTTAAATTGTAAACAAAATGTTAATTTCTTGGCTGCCATAGTAGAAGATAAAAGAGACTGCTAGCTGTAAGTAACCTGCACCTTGGATTATTTTATTAATATTGCAGATTGTAGTGGCAGGGCAATTAGGGTTAAATATGACCCCAGGAAAGCAGCTTGACCAATGCTGATCATCCTGCTAAATAGATGGAATTTAATTTAATAGAGGAAACAATAGGTTCCCTGTGGTTTATCTCATTAAGGTGATTTCCATAATTCCAATACTGATTCCTACATCTTTAAAATTAAACTTGGTAACAGACAAAAAGATAGAGCTGCATTGGAATGGTAAGGGAAAAAAAACCCCATTTCTGATTCTGTCATGAAATACTCATTGCTAAATTTGTTTAATTTGGCCTTAACTCATTCCTGAGATAATCCCACAGTCTCTCTTCATCTGAACCATGTCCCTTGGATTTCTTTAAAACCCTCCTATTTCTCTGGGTGCCTTCTGTTCCACCACCTCAGAGCTTCTACATGCACTTAACATTAAGGGGCTCTAATTTTCTTCTCTCTTATGCTTATTTTTCATCCATTAACTTTAATGGGATTGCACCTGGTTTCAAGAAAACCAGACTGAAAAAAAGTCAGTCTTATAGTGCCCAAACTCGTATTCCATACTCCAAAAGTGACTATTTTATGACAGTTTTCTGCAGAAATAAATTTATTTCTTTTGTCTCTACCTCAAAAGGCAGCACTTTTGCTGAAAGACCTAACAGAAAGAAAGATTCTGAGGAAAACACATTCTCTCTTTAACATTTAAACTAAAAGTCTGTTCAGGAAACCACAATTAGCTTTGTAAGAATTGCAGTCATAGATATTTTTCCCCGTTCTTCCTTTTGTTCTTAAAAAACCAAATCAAACTTTAATTTTCTGGCTTTTCTCCCCATACATTGGAAAATACTTAGGATGCATTTTGGCAAAACTGAAGGAAATATCTTAAGAAAAAAAATGACTTGAGGCTGGAGAGAAAAAAGATTTGCCATGATGTTTTCTAACTGTGAGGTTTGCTATTCACAGAGAAGGCAGTAATATAGATGCTGGAAAACAATATTATGCCTAGCATAAGCAAAAGGCAAACATATAGCCACAAACATCATAATGTAGCAGAATTGTATCCACCAAAGTTGTTCTTTTACAAATCAAATTAAAAGATTCTCATCAAGTTAAAAATCTTACTGTCTATATGTTTAAGTGTCTCCTCTCTTTCATCCTGTTAGTTAGTACCTGTACCTTTCATTGCTTACAGTGACAGAAATCCCATCCTATTGTTTTTCAACTATCTCCCCTGTTGTTTGCATGGGTGAAGCTTCTACACTGGAATTACAAAAGAAAGTCAGTAAAAGAATATGAGCTTCATTCTTTGCCTTGCCTGTACTGTAGAGCCTGCCAAAACTAGGGCTGAGGTTTGCTGGAAATGTAATTATTTGAAATTTTGGTTGGTTCTGAATCAGACAGGAATCTTTCCTTTTTTTTTTTTTTTCCCCTCACTCTGTTCTAAAGGAGCAGAACTAATCTTGCTGAGCAGTTGCAAAGAGCTCAGGAGTTTCCAGTCCCTAAATGACCTGCTAAACAACTACTCACAGGAAAGAGGCTGTTAGCAGAAGAGCCAGACACTCTTAGTCCTGAGGTCAGGAACTTCCACTTTTTAGCAACCTCTTCCCTAAAGAAAACATACCAGAAATCTGTGCAATCTGTTCAGAAACAATTTTTTTTTCAGGTTTCTGGAAAATATGAAGCAACCTCTCCTCATGTCTGAGCTACTTCTGCATGTGTAGAAATTGAAAAGTCTTTTACCTCAAAATGAATCATCAAAGGAGATATCATGCCACTATGATTTAACTGCCCTGATGAGATAAAATAAATTCCAGGAGATAAATCCACTCCTAACAATGGCATACATAGGGAAAAGATTTTGAAGTGAAGTTTGGTGTATATTAGTTCCTTTGACATAGAACTGAAAACTCTGCTTCCCATTACATGCACTTATCTGTCCCTCCTGTTTTCATATCTCTATTGATACAATGTCATTTGTGTGCCTTAGGGCCAGAGGAATGCCACAGCAGGATAGCGTAAGCCATGCTTTCTGTCTTGGGCTAAATATGATCCCAAGTGGATTTCACCACTATCAGTGAAATCTTCCAGGATTAGCTCAGTGACTTTAAGTATTGCAGAATGTTCCTTTCAGCTAGTATAGATGATACAGCTTTTATCATGGCATATATTGCAAAATTCTTACTCCCTCAGGCTCTTTTGAGCTCTGTTAGAGGAAGATATTCTCATGCAAGAAGAAGTAAATCACTGGAACAGACAATTGATTTGAATCCACTAATTTTACAATTCACTTGTCAGGACAAAACCAGGTGTGTGACTATAGGTGCAGATATGAACAGAATCTACCCTTTTCCATTTGTTTTGATCCCAAATCTCTTTCATTCATGGTGCCAAAATTCTGCTTTCCAGGGGAATGTGAGGAAAGATGAATTTCCTATGACTAACTCAGTCTAGAGCATTAAGTACAGAGCTCAGCTAGGGTATGTGTTTTCAGTAGAGAACAGCTGATGCACATAGTGGAAAGCAGCAGGCAGAGATACTTCTGTCTGAAAAGGCTAATCCATTACAAAGATTTCTTGTGTGCAGTTTCCTGGCTTCAAGTCTGCCTTACCTTTTTACACATTGACATAAAGCTCCAGAATGACTGAGTGGAAATCTTCATGAACTGCAAGAAACATGTCTTTAAAAATGCCACAAGAAACTCAGTGCCTTCTCTGAATCTGTGACTGACCAAACCTACACACCACCAACACTCCTTACAATGAATGCATCAGTGAGCCCTGGAGGCTGGTCATGCACACAGTGCCTGTACTCACAGTTTTCACAGCGACTCCCTGTATAGCCAGCCAGACAGGCACACTTGTAGGTGCTGCTTTTGTCCAGAATGCATGTCCCATCATGAAGACATGGAGATGAAGAACAAGCTGTAAAAGAAAAGCAAGAATGCTCATAGTCTCTCATAGGATGGGGAACCTACCTGTTTTTCCTCATGGTGGCTGTGTCTTGGGGTAAATTACATATTATCATGGTTAGAAGTTAGAAAGACACAGTAAAGGGCCTGAGGCATGTCAAAAAGTCTTCTGCCCTTACTTATTAGAGAAGGGATCTAATAGGGATGAGCAGTTCTTTTCCCAGCACACTTTACTTTTACCATTTTCCTTTAACTGCAGTCAAGTGGTGAGAAAGATTTATGGAACACAATTAATTTACATCAAGTTCAATTAATGTTTAGAGCTTAGACTAAATTAAAGTCTAATATCAACCTACATTTTTCCTGATATTCAACCTAGACTTTAGGGATCAGTTCTGGGATCCATGGTTTTTGTGGTCTTTTTTTGTGTCTCAGACCTTGTTTTAGATTTTGGGAGTTGCTTTGTCCCTGGGAAACTCTTGCATACAACAATCTAACAGTGATGCACATCGAACTGTATACAGTTTGTATACACCAGCATAACTTAATATCAGAATGTGTAACTCTGCATTAAATACCAGCAAATTCCCTTGTTTTTCCATTCCACATGTTTTTTGATGCCTGCTCTAAGAAGAGATGAGCCAATAGAACTATTGTGGTTTAATCCCAGCTGGCAGCTAAGTACCATGCTGCTACTCACTCCACCACTGCTGAAGGGGAGAAGAATTGAGAAAGAAAAACAAAACGTCATTGGTTGAGATATGAACACTTTAATAATTGAAATGAAAAAAAATATGATGATGATGATAATAATAATAATAGGAATAATAACTCCATTGAAAGGGGGAGAGAGAGAGAGAAATAATGCTGGAGAGAAAAAACTACCTATTCACAACACAGCTGCTCACCATATCACTGACTGAAGCCCAGGCCTCCCCAGGCAGCAAACCATGCTCCCAACCAACTCTCCCCAGTTTTTACAATATTCTGTGGTATGGCATATCCCTTTGGCCACTTTGTGTCAGTTGTTCTGGCCATGCTCCCTCCCAGCTTCTTGTGCATTTACTCACTGGCAGAGTGAAAGAAAATGAAAAGTCCTTGATTTAGAGTAGCACTACTTTACAATCACTAAAACATTAGTGTGTTACCATACAAAATCCAAACCACAATATGGCCCTCTGAGGGACACCACTTGTCACTGATGTTCACTGGGGCACTGAGCTGTTTACCACCACCCTGTAGCTCTGACCATCCAATTAATTCCTCATCCACTGAACAGTTCACTCATCAAATCCATCTCTCTCCAGTTTAGCCAGAAGGATGTTGTGGCCATGTCCAAAGGCCTCATGAAAGTTCATGGACATAACATATGTAGCCCTTCCCTTGTGCACTGGTGTAGTCCCTCAACTGTAGAAAGCAGGACAGGACTTTAGAAAGCAGGACTGCCCTGGTCAGGGCAGGACTTGCCCTTGGTGAAGCTGTTCTGGCTGTACTGAATCACCTCCCTGCCCTCCATCTGCCTTAGTCCTCCTTTTGGGAGGACCTGTTCCATGAACTTCCCAGGCACAGAGGTGAGGCTGACAGGTCAGTAGTTTCTGTGGTCCTTCCTTCTATCCCTTTTTTAAAATGGCTGCCTTTTTATCTCTTTTCCAGTCACCAGGGACTTTTCAAATATCATGAAAAGTGACTTGACAACTACATCAGCCATTTCCTTCAGGACTCTGGGATGTATGTCATCAGGTCCCAGAGGCTCATGTATGTTGAGGTTCCTCAGGAACCTCACTCTGAACACTGATCATCTCTTATGGTGGGAAGGAGTTTGCTGCCCCAGTCCTTGCCTTGCTCCTTGCCTCAGCTCGAGGAGTGTATGAAGAGAGGTTGCCAGTGATGACTGAGTCAAAAGAGACAGGCTCTGGCCCTCCCTGCAGCCAAACCTGCATGTTTAATGTGGCTCCATGTTTATGTGGCAGCCCTGCCTGGGTCATTACCTCCTTCCTGGTGCATGCAGAGGACAGGTTCCTGCCGAGGGGACACCACTGCTGCACCCCCTCTCAGGGGGTGCTGATTCCTGCCTGGCTCCGCACGGCAGCTGCAGCAGGACCTTGCCCTTCCTGCACTCCCAAGGTGCCAGGAACTGCTGCACACCCTGGCTGCACCCTGAAAGGCACGGGGGTACAGAGGGGTGCTTGTTCTGGCACTGTGCAGATCTCCTCAGCGCCTCCCACAAGCTGCTCAGGTGTCTCCCAGCTCAGGAAAAGCCCTCGGGTGCCAGGATCTGTCACTGCCACCATATGGACCAACTTCAGAGCAGCTTCTCTCAGAGAAGTTTCTTATTATCCAGATGGCATGAGGTAAGAAATATATAGATGCCACATATAGATTTCTCTGGAGGTTTCACGTGGTGATATGTAAGAGCAATTTATACATGGCCAGGCAATGAATATCTTCCACGTCTCATTGAAGATTAGGGCCTGAATAAGGACAGTAATTCATTCTTTAAAATAAAATATATATGTAGCAATTGTACTGTATACAACTTATGTAAAATATCACTGAGAAAGGGAAGGAGAACTAGAAGACTCCTTACAGACTGATATTTTTGTAGTCGCTGGTTAAAGCTAGTGAACTTTTATCTTTGTCCCAGCTTTGTGTCCTGATTCTGGAAAAGTAAGCAAGTCAAGTGAATAAGGGTAAGTGTCAGATACTCTCCTATAAAATGCCTGATACTAAAAACCACTAAATATTTTTTCTGTTTTAAGGAGTCTTGATTTCCTGGCTTAAGTCAAACAACAAGGGACAATACTACAAATGTTTAAAGTCACTATGTTATGTCCACTAGCTTGTGTGTACAGAAAGGAAAGATTTCTTGAAAGTCAGTAACTGGCTTTCATCTAACTGGATCCAGCATATGTCTAATCCTTAAGAGACTCTGATAGTTCCCCATCTGGCCTCCCATGCTTCTCATCTGAATTCTGTTCAGTGACTTCTAGTCACTCATGCCAATTACTGGTTCCCATTTCACACTTGGCATGGGATGGGATATAGCACCTGCTTCCAGACTAGGCAGCACAGCAGGTTGTGTGGTTTCATCCTTTCATAACTATACACACAGTGACCTTTCCTAAAGGAGATATAGGCTTTGCAGCTTATTTTGTATCAATCAAGACCTTTCTGGAATTTGAACCAGTGATCTCTCTGCAGTCAGTGCCCCTGCTTCAGCAAACTATGGATTCTAAGCCAGTACAGAGCTCACCAGAAGAGGAGGCAGAAAAAGAAGGAATTAAATTTTGACATACTTCTTCAGTCCTTTCCACTACACCACTAAGGTGCTGGGGGACACCAGATCACCTTCATGTCCTAGTCCACATCCTGTAATCACCTCTGTTGCTGCTGCTCCCACCTGCAGCATAGGGAATTGATTTAGTAAGCCCCGTGAAATCTGTTCTGCGGACCTTGGCTCTTCCACAGTGCTGTGCACAGAAGGAAATTTCAGGGCAAATGCTTCAGTTTTCAATGTGCTGCCAGAGCTTTCGATCCTATGCTGCCCCCACTTTCAATTCTATGCTGCCCCATGCACACTCTATTCTTCCCTTAAATGGTCCTGCTGGCCAGGTTAGTGCTTCACATAAAAAGACACTGGGAGTGTTTGAAAAGCCTTTCACTGCACTACACATTAGACCAGAACAGCCTCATAATAAAGTGCACAAATAGAGCTCCTCACAAACTCTGAGAGAAGCCCTTTACAATGTGCTCTGTGTGGATTACCACACTTGCAGCCTCACAGCCTCAGAATAATTACCACTCAAAATGGGGCGGAAATAAAGTGCTCCACAATATTCAAATACCGAGTGTTCCCTGCTGGGCAGAGAAAACAGAACCAATTCAGCTTGCACCATATGGAAAATGTTAGTTCCCTGAGTGTAGGCAGCCCTTATGCAACATAGCCCACGCCACACTCATTTGTTCTATATCACCTCTCCTGCTGTAAGCCCAGGCAAACTATCAATAGCTAACTGCTCCTGCTATCAGGTACTAAAGGTGGCATTTGGAGAGCAGGGCAGGCTGAGAAATGGCATAGGAGCTACATCCAGAAGTATGAACATTTCATATTGCTAAATATACCTCTGATCATTGTTAAGAGTCAGGTTTGTGTATTTATGTAAGTGTTATATAAACTAACTAAATTTCCTGAGCCAGATATACCCTGGATGGCCTCATGAAATGTGGGTCACCAGGGTGTACAGAAGGCAAGTTATGGTGAGTCATAGATCCTGCAGGGTTTATCTATGGCAAAACAGCACAGTCTGATTAGTCTTCTGTGCCAGGAGTTCTGTAGATAGATTTGACCAAAATTCCTTACATAGCTAAATAAGGAAGATCCAGGAAGAGCGTGGAGGCTGCTGCTAATCCAATGGCAAAATTACAAGCCAGCTACACTTGCAGTGCTATTTTGAAACTATGGAAAGCAAGGTATGGGACTGAAGCACTGAGTAGTAATGAAACCAGTAATTCTGGAGCCCCACTTCTGTCATTCATAACACTGAGATCATCACAGAATGGGAAACGCCTCTTCATTTTTTTTCCTTAAAGAAAATAATTTGTTCTGTGTACACACTTGGGGATTTTTTGTTTGTTTTGGTCTTGGTTGGTTGGGGTTTTTTTTAATTCCTAATGGTACATGAGCCAACACAAGAATTCTGTCAGGGCATTTTCACTGAACTATCTATGACACTTTGCATCAGGTTTTTGCGGCTTGAGACAATGACTCTGCCCCTGCATACAGCATTGAGCAGTTCTGCCACTGCAGATACACATGCCCCTTCCCCTACTTCCTCTGTGCTCTTAATTCTTCAACTTAAACAGAAAAATCACACAAAACAGCAGCTTTTCTCTGCTGGCTGATGTGCTTGTTCTTCACACAAGTAGAAGGAATTCAGTCTTTTTTAGAAGAGCCTCACATTCACATGCCATCTGACAGCTTTTGGATCTTCCCCACACTGACTTTATGTAAGTTGCTGTTGGCAACACAGCATGAAAGTTTTTAATGAAGCAAAACAGGCAAAGAGATTAGTGAAATTGAATTAATGAGAATGAGTGGCATGTTCTACTTTTAGATTAGGTTACCTGTAATTTCTTCAAAGACAGCATGAAATCCATCAAAGTTCTTGGATCCATCAGACTGGAAGAGGACATGGAGTGAAGACCCAGTGCTTCGGATGGGAGGTGGCCTCTCATTTCCACAGAATTTCTTTATTATTTGACTGTCCAAATTGTCCCCATCACGAATCTCCACATAGTCATACTGGCACATATAATCAAACTCCAGGCTCAGCATGGAAAATCTTAGGAAACAAGAACAAACAGTCAGACTGCTTACCTGGGTACCCTGAATACTATTTATTTGGGCATTTAGGTATTTAGGGCATACCCCCTCAGTGAATCAACATGCCCTTAACCACACAAAGACCTCTCACTCATCTCAATTTTTGCATCATGATGCCTAGAAGCTGGCTCAACTCTATACAGTTGCTCCATGAGAACATACAAGTATCAGAACAGTGAAGTCCAAGTTGAAGTCATACAGTCTATACACGTGCATCAGGTCCCTAGCCATAATACAATGTCAGAACTTTCATCCAGGGTCAGGCACTGCAGGGGGCATATTTCTACTGTCATTGTTTGCTAAAAAATGTTCTATTTGGCCTAAATAAAGTTCTAAGTACTGAAAGTTACAGTATAAAATAACAAAGCTTCAAAAGCTGTCTACATTCAGAAGTCAGCAATTAGGGATACAAGGAGAGCTTGGGGATGTAACAGAAGCAGAAACAGCCACAGAAACAGAATCAAAATACTACAGCACGTTTTGCATTAGAAAGCAAAATGGTAGTAAATCCCCAATGTGTGGCACTTGCCTGTCTTTTGAGAGCAGAAATAAGGCACAGGAATTAGTGCAGAAGGGAAATACTTAAAGCCTTTTCCCACAATGTCTGTCCTTTCCTAGCTTCGATCCAGCCACTGTGCAAGGCTTTTGTTCATTAACAGCCATGCTATATGCTGCCACTGGAATTCAGGTGGGCACAGAGCCAAAGCACCCCACCAGAATAGGAACGAGAAACAGAAGGAGCAACACCAAGTGCCTCTGGAGAATGTGCAATGGTCAGGGGGCTGGGCTCAGCCTTGGTACAGCAGGAAAAGGAGAAATGGGCATGGGAGAGGCTGTGCTACTAACTGTTCAGCAAGATATTTTATAAATGAAACTCATTATGCACTCAGTCTTCCTGAAGACTCCTAACACTGCAGATGTGTATTTAGGATGAGGCTGTATCTCCCACATTGCCTATTCCAGTGTGGGCCTAGTGGTTTGCAAGGCTGCATTTTCACACCAAAGAGGTGAGACAAATTTTGGATCTGCTCCTGGACCTCATAGTCTGAAGGGAAGAGAATTCTGGAGCCTGTTTCACACTATACTTATCTTGAGACTCAGGCGTTCATGTTAAGGAGGCCTCCATGTTCCTCCACCTTCCCTTGACAACTCATGAGCTGACTTAAGAGGCCTCTGCACTCAGTCACCTTTGTTCAGGTCATACAGCTGATTTTTGAACATCAGGAGTACACTACCTACAGAGAAATGACTGAGCAGTTGTAGGAAGCTGCACCAATGGAGCAGAGCCCCTCATTTTTTAAAATAATTTGATGGAATGTAGAAGAAAAAACAAAACATCTGCTTTAAATATGCATTAGAGAGAGATAATTCAACTTTGCTTTGCATAAAATGCATGAGTTGAATTCTAGTTCTGTCAGGTCTGTCAGAGACATCCTCACACGTATCAGGTTATACACTACATTTTCAAAACATTCTTTCACTGGTGAAACATACCCCAGGGATCTAGCCTTAAGGAAGTTACAGAGCAATACAAATTAACCCGTTCATCTTTGTCATACTTATCAGGCTACAGTTTATCCTGACCCAATCCTAAAAACACTTTCTGGTTTTCTGAACTGATACATTTCTGATTAAAATTAAGTATGTGTGCAAATACAGAAGAAAAATTTCTGGAATGCCCAGTATTATTTATAGATGTAAAGGTAAACTATCTCTTGATGCGTGTCCCTGAACAGAGAATATCAAAACATAGGCACAGAGAATGAAAGAGCCATACAAAGAATACTGGTTTTAATTGTTCGCTTTGTATGTTTTAAAAAATTATGGAAACAGAGTGGAAAATGTGAAAGGCATTGGAGTTCTGACTTGCATTTTATTTAACTTGGCAAAGAAGCAGATACGCTGTACTGACGACATGGGATCCTGTGATTAAGACTCAGAATTGGCAGGTCAGGAAACCTGCCAAAGCTTTTAAAAACCTCTTGGCTATGGCCCAGCTGACAGGACCCTTTACAAACCCTGAGGTCTATTGCTGTTTGAGCCTCAGGTACACACAATTCAACAGACCTCAGTTTCCTCACTAGTGAAAGCATAATTATATAATAATTCTCTTGAATATTATAAAACTTAGCATGCTAATTTTGTGCTACAGGTCATCAGATACAAAATGGAATGAAAAGTATTGTCTTGATTTCATCAGTGGCTGCAGTGGGCATATATTGGCCAAGCCATCTGAGGAAAGCTTCTAGCCAAAGGACATATTTAAAACTGCATCTCTGCTGAGGCACTAAAGAAAAGAATTGGAAGTTGTGAGCTGCTTCCACTGTGATATGACATCCTTGACATGACTCAGGCTGAGGGCACCTATACATCACAACCCAAAAAAAACCCCCAAGGCTGGCAAAAAAAAGCAGAGAAAGCAAACTACCACCACAACATGGACACTATTTATCAAAACAGCTCTACTGAGCCAACCCCCAAAGGACTGCATGGCACAGCTTAAAGCAAGGGAAGATTTATCTGTGCTCCTGGGAGTGTTACTCTTCCTGCCCTATGCAAGTAAAAACGACCACTTTGTCTGCCTTCTGTATTACCCTGTCCTCATCCCTGCCCTTGCAAGCCAGAGTGGCAGCAAACAGGATTTGTGCACAGAGAGAATGAAAAAAGGAGTTTTTTGTTGGCAGTTATGCTGATTCAGCAGAGGGTTGGCTGTGCATTACAGCTCTAAGCAGTTACCACCCACAGAGGGGATCAGCACGTTTATATGAAAATAAGAGAAGGAAACATGGATGGCAGACCCAGGAGCCAGGCTCTGTTGGTTAGCTTAGGTAAACCTCCCCTTCTGTGTAGGAGCAGCCTAAAGGTGAAGTTTTAGATTAAATGTACTCATTTTCCACAATATCTAACTGGTGAAATACCTCAATGGACAGCTCTGAGGTGATGCACCTTGAAGATGTCAACTGACTCAGAACACACTACAGGGTTACCTTCTGTGAGGACCTCCTGTTCCATCTTTGCCAAGAAGGTTTCCTCTATGACTCCTATAGGACTTGCAGGGTGGCAGGGTAAAGTGTGGACATTCAGGAGAGATCCTGATCTTTCACTGGGAGGGCTACGTCATCTGCTGAGATTTCTAGGCAGTCAGACATTAGGCTCATCATCAGGCAAAGGGCCCTAGACAAAGGGCTTTAGGATTCTCGAATGTTAGTCAACTCAGATAAATTAGATGCTGACAACAGAAATATGGTAGTTCAGGCTTCCCTCTTGGAAACCTTCACAGTTGAAATGTAACATTATTTTACATCAGGGTGATACCTAGTATTATGTTTATTTGATTGCAGGAAGGAAGGATGGACATAGCAAGGAAGAGAAAGGCACTCTTGTGTTAAAGTTTTCCTTTTTCTGTAACAGCAAAGTTGAACTGTGAACTGTGAACCATACTGTGAACTGTATGGATCTCATGTGACACATCTTCCTAGTCTGCATGTGGGTGGCCCCCAGGGTCTAGAGTGGAAGTCTGATTTCTCCAAAGAGTTAGTACATCTGTTAACTACAGCACTCCTCACTCTACTGCTTTGAAAACAGATTAGAGTCTCCTTTGTGCAGCCACAGCAAGTTCTGCTCTTCAATATAGTGTTCTTTGCTAAAATAACCTCTGGTCCCCTTCTTGTGCCTGATGCCATCTGGCTGTAAAACTTCAATCAGAGATAGGTGCATTCAATAATTATGTGCATGAACAGGATCCATTTCCACTCTCACACATCCATCCCCACAACAGCAAAGACAGGGTGATACCTGTAACTCTTGAAGCACTTTTTAAGCCTCAAAATTAACAAAGCCCTTTTCAGAAATGTAGAAAAATATCACCTCCCTAAGCTTGGGCTGTGCAAATCATACACCTCACCAATAATATCTCTTAAAAAGAAGGCAGGTACAATCCATGCTGACTGACACTGATGCAAAGTTGTGTCATGTGCACAGAAAACTCTTCCTCACAGCATTCTTCCTGTGTCTTCTATACAATGCTATCTAGGCAATAACAGCTCAGAACTACACAATAGGCTTGCATTTGCAGGTCTGGAAAAAGTGCATTAGTGTGGGAAAACCACAAGCTCTTCTTTTCAACTAATTTGTTGTTCTTCCTCCCATTAAGTTTCTCTGCAAGCATATTTAAACTGCTTAAACGTATTTTAACTGTTTATGTATCTAGCATAGTTCTTTTCCTGGGCTCCAAAGTCAGTAAAATATTGATGTGAAGGATTAAGCTATTCTTTTTATTATATTAGCTAGTGTGTTTGGAATACCATCCCCTGCCATACTTCCTGCTGCATGTGTGAGCACCCTGCTGTGTACATTTGGAAACAAAATTAATTACCCCAACAAGAGGCTCTCCTGCACTAGGCAGGAACTGTGAGCTTGAGGCATTAGGGTTGGTTAACATTGCTCTCAACAGAAGAGCAATGACATGACAATAGGACACAGTCTTGGACTGTGTGAGTGGAAGTTTAGGCTAGACATTAGGAAAAAAATAATCACTGGAAGAGTGATGGGGCATTGGAATGGGCTGCTCAGGGAGGTGGTGGAGTCACCATCCCTGAAGGTGTCTAAAAAAAGATTGGATGTGGCACTGAGTGTCATGATTTTGGTGAGAAGGTAGTGTTAGGTCACAGGCTGGACTTGATCTTCTCAAAGGTCTTTTCCAATTCAGTTAATTCTGTAATTCTGTGACTTGCAGGAAAACCAATCACATACTCCAAGCATAGGAATGGTGAGAGGAATAACAGAGGCTGATAGAAAACATGGTTGGTGAAAAGAGTGAAAAAAAAAAAAAAGAGGGGAAAATGAAGGCTAAATGCAAGGTAGAACTCATGGGCAACTCTCTTCTTGCATGAGACATTATATAAAAACATTCTTATGTCTTTTCTTCAAAGAATGTCTTAGTTCAGCCTGGTACAGCTTAGTTCAGAAAATATAGAGTGCTTTGCTGTCAAGGGCTTGAAAACACCTCTAAAGGCACACATTGTGCCCAATGCCTGAGAAACTCTCCTCAGCATCCATCTGTCCTTAATGGGAATTGAAAGCCCAGCTCTGATCTGTCCAGCCCCTGCCCATCACAAGCCAGAGCAGGGGAAAGAGCTCTGGTACCAAAAGCAAAGTGGTTGCTACACCTTCACTGCCCCAGGGCCCACAGCTGCTGACTCTCTTTGACTCTTGGTTACCCACACACCCCAATGTCCACCTGAAATCAGAGCTGGCTAAAAGTCAGCAGGACCCACCTTAACTCAATGTTAAATCCAGCTTGAACATGGATTGTCCATTCACATCGTGCATTCAGTGGGTAACCCTCCAGCAAAATCTGACCTCTGGAGGCCCGGAGAACCTGCCCACACCCTGGGGAGAAAAAGAAGAAAAAAATTGTGTGAAGGACCTTCAAGAGACATTTGAAGAAAATATAAGTAGAAATAACACCAGAAGGAGATGACGTTGTGGCTTAGGAAGATACACTCTTTCTTACAAGACAATGTATAAAATACTGGGACAGCCACACAATGGCTGTGAAGAGTTAGGACTGTATTGGAGTATTGTCTAGGCTAAGAGTACCCCCAGGAAAATTGCAGTTGATTGCTTCTCCCTGGTTTGCAATGCTACTTCATGAAACCATTTCTTGCAGCTTTTGCCTCTCTGTTAATTAGCCCACCTACACACCTGGCTGATGCTCCAGCTCAGAACAGTTTTGATGGAGCCCATGCTGACATTTGCAACCACTGAAGCTGAGGAAGCTGGTGGGAAAGTGACAAAACTACAATGAACACCTGAATTAGCTCAAGCAAAAGAATGAGACAAAAAGTCTGTTGCACCCAACGTCATGGTTGCTAGTCCTTCATAAGGAGACTCTAGGAGGAAAAAGAGCTATATTCATAGAGGACAAGTTTGTCCTCAGGATTCCCTACATCATCCTTGCATGTTAATGCCACCATGTCAATGAAGATATATAAACATCACAGCTCCTCTATCATCAGCGTGACACTGATGACTCAGTGTGACACATATAGAATATACAGCCCTTATCTCTTATTTCAGGTTCATTTCTTATCCTTCCTCTAGTCTTGTTCCACTCTGCCTGTGCTGCTCTCAGTTTGTCACCATACTATGGAATGTACTTCAGCACCAACAGGACAAGATGAAGTGCTCCAGTCATTTGTGCCCAATCTAAGAAAACCATCAGAGGACAATGAGCTGAACAAATAGCAGACAAGGTCACACCAGGGGAGCAATATCTTTTAATGAAAATCCTGCAGCTGTCCCTAGGCATCTGTCCAGGGATAGTTGTCCTAATTCCTCATCTTGAATGCTGAACATTTTTAGCCCAGAGAGTTCTCTCACCTTCAGTAACCTCTCCCTTTTCCCTAGCTATAAAATATGGCTAATTATATTTTCCTCTGTGGAAGATGCAAAGTTTTTTAGTGATTTTTTCAGAGCTTACTGTGATCTGCACATGCACATCCTAGCAAAATGCACAGTTAAGTCAATATGTATCAGACAGAGCTAATTTTTCAGCTCCTGCTTTCCTGACTACATCTTTCTGAGTGGAGTCTTGCACATGGCCACCTCCCCTGGTAAGCCTTCTGTTGCTTTGCTGGAGTATGAGCCTGTATCTGCAAGACAAAAATTGCAATTCAGTCTAACAGTGTCACCTAATCAGGAGAGCCTACACACTGCAGATGAGGATAAGCAAAAAGTTGAATGACCCAAAAGACCTCCACAGCAATTTTCTCACTTCTTTTTTACCTCTTCAGTCTGACAGAAAGCTCTGCTGCTTCCGTCTGTTTCCCTAGAGAAACCCTAAGCTTTTAACCAGCAACCCAGGATGAATGTTTCCTACTGAAACAGAGGGTTTTAACACTCGCCTCCGGGCCCTTGCTTCCCGAGGGAGAAAGGGTGACAGTGACCTGATTTGGTGAAGTACCGAGCATCTGTGGTTCCCATTGATCATAGTGTCTGGAAATCAATCCTGCTGCAGCTGGTCTATGGGGAAACATGAAGACTGCAGGTCAATTCCCCCTCTTTCTTCTTAAGAAAGTGTTGCTCAAATGAAATACCCTTTGTTCATTTACCCTCGGTTACCCTTAATTAAGCAGGACCCAAGGAAACAGAAATCCTGCTCAGAAGAGTTCCTCAAAAGTGTTTCATCCTCTTCTGTGGCTCGCTCAGTTCCCTCTGTAAAAGGCGAGGATTAATGAGTGTGCCCAGCAACCACATTAGGATTCATCGAGTACAGCAGGATCTGCTGTGGTGAAAATGATAATGCTCCTTCCCACAGCAAGAAACAGGCCCTTGTGCTGCCATTGGCTCCTGCCTCAAAAACAACCTGGGACAAAGCTGCTAGAAATCTTCAGAGGGTTTGACAGGGGGCTTGGACCACCTCAAAGAAAGTTTTCCTTTCGTCCTGAAGGGCTTTTGAGTTTTCGATGCCTTTAACAAAGGAAAGCCAGAGAACTGGTGCAAAGAGATACTTGTATGCACGGCATACTAAACACACTTCTCTGTTTGCCGTGGTACAGCCTGAACTCTCTGAACACTGGCGCTGAGGAAGTAGGTTTGGCCAGCAAAGCAGGTGGTCCAGAGACTAAAGAGGAGCCATTCAGTGACTCTCTCCAAAAGAACGTTCTCAGGTTTGCTCCCACCCCTCTCTGCACGAAGCACCTTTGCGATCACATCAAATCTGCGCTCTTTAATCTCCAGCGCTTCTAGCAGAAGTTAGGCTGACTCCCCAGACCAACAGTTCAATCATATGTTGATCAAAAGGAGCCTTTTCTCTTCCTATTCTAAATCTGCAGGAGACCTGGAAAGCCCTCAAAAATAATTTACATCATAAACACAAATGCTGGCAAATTCTGCCTCATTTACAAAAAAATAAACCACTTTGGCAGAGTATCAACATCCTTGTTCCGTTCCTGTTCCTGAAAAAAAGGCAGCTTTCAGGGCCACAGTAAGATTTCCTCCAAGGCTTGTTACTAACAGAGAATAAAAAATTCAGGAGACCTCTGAGTTGTAGCCCCCAGAGACCCATGGGTCTATGGAGGGAGAGGTCCTGAGACGACCTTTGGTAAGGACACATTATCTTCTGTTTGAGTGCTGCATCTCAGATGTGAGGCTCCTTCAAAGGTCAGGAAGACTGAAAAGAGGAGAAAGACAGTAGAAAGGTTTCTGCTATTCAGAAACAGGCTGATATGGGAAGGCAGCTGTCACTTGTCACAACTTGCTGCTTCCTATTGGTTGCCGGTCACCAGTATTATGTGAAACAGTAATGTTCAGAAAGTTTCAAAAACTACAAGTACTCTTGTCTGGCACAGGGTCCACATTTGGACAGCAGAGCTGAGAACAGCTGTTAGAAAACACCACTTTCTCCCCTGCTTTAATGGAGCATGTGCCTTCAAGTGACATTACAACTTGGGGCTGGCAAAAACTGTTGGGAGCGCAGGGTACAGAGGAAAGGGTTCTGCAGGGTTGGTTTTCTCCTGGTTTTAGAGTCTGATGTGCCTTTTAGGTCATGATGATTCAATCCAAGAGAAGTCCCATTAGGAAATACTCTAGCACCCAATTAAATCTAGTCAGTGTGCTTATTTCCTAAGAGCACTTCTTTGGCCTACCCTATATCATTTACCCTTTTACCAAATGATCTGGTATCCTTTGGTGGGTTTTCAGCCATACCCATGCTTCCAGCTATGCCAGCAGATACTACAAACCGGACAGACCCATGGGCCATGCCATGGTACTTCTTCCTTGCCATGGCTCTACATCATTGCTACTTTTGCTGGCAGCCCCCACAAATCTCTCCAGGGGGCTCACCCTGCGCTGGCCAACGCTCTCAGCCCCTGGAGCGCTGCGGGGCCTGGGCCTCATTGTTCTCCCCGAGGTACCCAGACGGTGCCACAGAGCTCCCCCCGCCGCGTTCAGTATCAACAGGCGCTGATCCTGCCCGCAGATCCCCCGCGCTACCCTCCCGGTGCCCATCCAGCGGGATGACCGGGGCCTCACGGCGCGGCCTCCGCGGGCCCCCGGCCGCCCCCTACCGCCCGTGCGGGCCGGTGCCGGTGCCTGCGGGGCCCGTGGCGGCCGGGGCTGCAGTGCCCGCCGGGCCGGGCTGCAGTGCCCGCCAAGCCGGGCGCGCCGTGCCCGGGGCGCTGCCTCAGCACGGCAGTGCAGGGATGCGGCCGGAGCGGCGCTCGCCCTCCTGCCCAGCCGGCCCGGCCCGGGAGCCGCAGCACGGCGGCAGCGCCCGCCGGCCCCGCGAGAGGGAGACAGAGCCCGGCGGGAGCTGCCGCCCGCCCCCCGCGCCGCACGGGAGGCCGCGCCGTGCCCGGCAGCGCTGGCCTTGGCAGCGTAGGACGGAGTAGGCAAATTGTTTACATCCCGCTATTACCGTGCTGGCGCTTCTTTGTCATTCCGGGATTTCTTGGCCCTCTGCCGCTGGCGAGGCACCCGGAGCTGGCTGCGAAGTTTGAGCTGTGATACCGTATGCAGGTACCAGAGATGGCTCCTCCAGTGCTCTCCCAGCTGAGGTGTGCTAGCACATCCATGGCTCCAGCAGCCTGTGCCTGCTGGCATTCCAAGGCTGCTTGCTGGCCGCCCTCCAGACCCAGAGCCACATCGCTGGGAGGCGCAGTCCGGCACCCATCGTGGTTGTGGGCTGCTTTCCAGACATGAGGTTTTCTCCATGCCTGAGCCACGCATCAAGGCCAAAATTGAGTTAGCCACAAAAGGGGAGCTCAGGATGTGTTGGCATCACAACTGTCCTCTGTGTCCCCACTGTAAGAGTGGAAGAGACAACAACACTGTCTAACCTTCCTACCCCACCTCTCAAGTACCACAGAACCACATGAAAGAGAGCACAGCCTCAGTGTCATACTGGGTCCCTTAAAAGAGCAGGTAGTAAGAAAAATGATATAAGACAAAACTGTCCAAAATTTCAGTATGCAAAATATCCAAATAGACCTCTATGTGAAGGTGCGTTTCCTTCAATACAAGTGGGAAGAATAAACTGAAATGTACTGTAGGCAACCAATGTATTCAGGCAGATGGAGGAAAAATTTGATGAGCTAATGACTCTTTCTTGGCTCTTCTTTTAAAGAAAATTCCAGAGAAGCTCTAGCATGCACCTAGAGAAAATGGTACTTTAAAGTGTTCTCAGAAATCACACCGTAAACAGCAGGGGACTCAGTTGATCAACTTCAAAGCCTCAAGGCGGCTGAGATAGCTCTATTGCTGAAACATGTTGATTCCCCACATTCCGCTATTTGAAGCAATGATTTTATTTTATATGCTTTCACCTCCTGAATGATCATGGGCAGTGTTGTGAAAGCAAGTTAAATTGTTGCTTTAAATTAAATTACTAAGAGGACACAAGCCTAAGGTATATAGCCCAATAGACAGAACAGAGTAGGGAAAGCAGAATCTGCTTTCATCCCTTCCAGCAAAATATGAACAAAGAGACAGTCAATAAAAATTGAAAGAGAGCTTCACCTTCACTGGTGGGAAATTGGTGAAGGAAATACCAGTCTTAAACATTACACAGTTACCTGATGGAATTCTTTATTGAAAGACAGAATTGGGATTAACAACTTAGCAAAACTAAAATGTAGGAGCTTTTGTACACTGTCAGGAGCAAAACCTTTAGATATTGGTACTGGGGCCTGAAATACTCATTGTTGTGACATAATCAGAAGAAGACAGTGTTTTCCAGAGGCACCTTGGAGAGTGTTGAAGATGTGTGGCAGAGGAAGGAAACCCTGGGATATCTTTGGGACTGGCAGGGTTTGAAGGAGGACAGAGGGTAAAGCCTTTTTGATAAAGCTGCTGCTCTTGTAAATGTTTATGCTTGTGCTCAGGGGCTATGATGACGTGAGTCCAAGAAATGCAGATTACAGAAGATTTCCGGAGTCACGGTAGTTAAAGTTTTAAAATAAACCAAACCCAAACTGACATTTAGTAGGGTTCTAAGTCACCATGACATGAGGCCCAGTCCAATTCCTGGGCCTCAGGCAAGCACTGGGAAAGAAGTTTTTTCCTAATTGTAGATCTGCTTACTGCCTGGTTGTGTTTGCCTTCTGCTCGTGCCCATTGCAAGAGCTGCTGTGCATTAATAGCTGGAAAGGCACAGCATGGCCCTGGCTCTGTCCCACCACTCCCTGTCCCTGCCATCCCTCCCCGCCCATGCAGGACACTTACTCATGCAGTCCCCTCCATACCAGCCAGCTCTGCACTCTGCGCAGTAGATTCCCTTGATGTAGAAGTCGTCGAGTGTCCCTCCCCAGGAGCCATTGCGACAGGACTTGCAGTTCTCAAAGATGGTGCAGCCTAAAAAGAGAGCCACTGTGTTAGATGAAAGCCAAGGTAGATTGTCCTGTGGGAAAAGGAGCAGCCTCTCTGTCTTTTCCACAGAAAATGCCAATGACGTTCATGACTGCAGAGGTGCTGACAGCTCTCCCGCTGGGAACCATACCCAACCTCCACGCCCTAGGCAGCTCACACTCTGAGATTTGGAACCAAACTCCTGGTCTGACTTGCCCAAACCTCTAAATCTCATTGCTCCAACTGTAAACGCCTCTCTCAGGAGTCTGAATGTGTGTGCTGATGCCACTTGGGCCCAGCCTAAATTATTCTGATGACTTCTAAACTGGTCCTAGCTCCTCCTGCTCTCTCCTCCTATCCCCTTTCACTTTTCTTTTTCCTCCTTGCCTGTGGCACTTCCAAGTTATCTCTCCTCTTTTGCTTTGGGGATGCAAATCAACCAAGAGTACCACCAAAACACTCCTGGTGTGAAGCCAGCTGTCGTGTCACCCTTTGGCAGCTTCCAAGCCTGCCCAAGACATCCTGACAACACTGCTAGTAGAAACAACACTGCTGTTGGGTTTTTTGGCCAGTGATGCTACCTGCTTTGGGGGAACCTTGCCAAGTGTCTTGTTGCTGTCAACTGAGTGGCAGATGAAGTTCCTGCGGAAATGCAGGACAATCTCATGCCTCAGTGAGATGTGCTTGTTCACCACTGCCCTGCCCAGCATCTGCCATGATGCCTTGGCCAAAGATTTGGTGTGAACACAGCATGGTCACAAACACACCTGGGTGGATTAAGCAGGAGTCACACTCATTCTCCTCGTTCCTGCAGCAGGGAATGGTGTAGCCCACTCTTTCTTTCTGTCCTGGGCAGATGCACTCAATTTGGTCGTATTCGCAGCATTCCCGACACATGATATTCCACTCAGCTCCTGGGCAGTTTTCATTGATCACTGTGTACTCTGCAGGGAACGGAGAGGAGGACACACAATCTGATGAGGACTGGCAGGATCTGTTGTCCAGTGGTTTGTCAGATCATGATGCCATGAGGCTGGCCAAGGTCTTCAGCCCAGAAACACCCAAACTTCGTGGCAACATGCATCTGATATGTCAGCATGGTTTGCATGTCTAAGGAACACACAGGAGTTTCACAGTGCCAGCCAGAGGAAGCAAACAGACCAGAGGGAAGGAATATGTTCGCTTTCTCTGCAAGGCCTGCCCACTTCTGTGGTGAGAAAAATAGCTTTAAAAAAGCACAGAGGATGATATCACATGAGAAAGTTTCTTCAGATTGCAGGACTGATTTAAAGCTTCATCTGTAGTATAGATTATTTAAACTATGATAGCATGTTTTGACTGTATTTCTGCTTGTGAATTTGCTATTCTTGAAAACTAGGGGCCCACCAGGAAAGGCCATTTTTAAAGTTGGTTTTTAGATGGCTTTACTCCCTATTTTCACCCAGAAGTACATGTTGTTACATTTGACTTCACTGCCAAAGGAAACAAGATTTTTTCTTATTTTAAAAGGTTCATTTTGCCTGGCATTTCTAATGTGGTAACACCTTCCTATTATTTAGCATAACCTCATATGATATCTAAGCTATGCTGGAAGTACCCTTTTAAGAAACAACCTCAGACTGTGACTCAGGACTGCCACAATAAGTGCAGATCCTGTCTTTCTCCACCAGTGTGCTGTCTAAATTCTACAAAGAGAGATCCAAGGAGTGCACAGAGCTGTCAGCATGCCTTCTAAGCAGCTGACAGCCCTGATGACTGCTTTCATGGAGTTTGATAGTAAAAAGAGAGAGCAGACTAGAAAGATGAGACATGAAGGAAACTTAATGAGACTAGCTCTTTCTTCCCCTTCTATCCTCCTCTTCTTTCTTTTTTTTTTTTTTTTTCCTTTTTTCTTTTTTAATTGTGGTTAGGTAAGAACCTTTTTCCTTGTGTATTAAACTCTGAGTAACAGGGTTGCCTTGTCATGAAACAAGCCATATATCTCTAAGGTGAAACACTCCCATCCATGCCCGTACCTGTCTGCCTTCTCACACGAATGTTTTTTTGTTTCATTGTCACTGACAACCTAATTATTGTGCCTGCTGGAGCTCCCCACCACTGAGCCTTGCTGCTCTGTCTCACTTGACTCTCCATGACCTCATGAAGCCTGGTTGCTGGAAGCTTATCTTCTCTCCTAATGATTTTTACTGACTCCATAAAAATGGACCACCAAACTGTTTCTTCTCTTCTTTTTTTTCCCCACTTTGGCTGGGAAATGAAATGCAGCCCTTTGTGCTCCTCGGAGCTGAGCCTATCCCTTGTGCCTGGTGTACAGACCAGGGAGAGTCCACTGCTTCTCTAAGTTTAGGAAAGAGGCTGCTGTTTGTGCTGAAACCTTTCCATCCCCTCTGTCTGCCCCTATAATCATTTCAAAAAGAAAAAGTTGTTCCTTCTGTCCAATAAGATTCTGTATTTTTTTTTATTCCAGTAGTGGAATCTTGCATTGAAATAATCTTATTGTTCAGCAGTTGTACACCCTTTTGCCTGTAGATCTTTACAAAGTTCTCTTTCCAGATGGGAAAATGAAGCACAAGGGAGGTGAAGTGACTTTGCTCAAGGTCCCAGGGAAAAACAATGGTAGAGTGGGGAATTAAACTCATGCCTTCTAATTTCCAGAATGGCAGTCAATCATCCTGGCCAGGCTAGGGCTTCTTAACCTATGGCTATTATTCCCTTTTAATTAAGCCTTTTATCTATGAATTATATCTGATTCAGATTCCAGAGAAAATTAATTACACACGTTTAATTATCTCTGTGGAACTGACACTCAGTTTGATATATCTCGCCATACAAGGCAGACAATAGCTGTGTCTCTGGTGTATGGGGTGGGGGTCTCACTCCTTCCTGAAACAGCACTCTTTAAAGTCTGACTAATAAATAACTATCCACCACTCAGAGCTTTTGTAAAGCATCCTTCAAATTCTCATTCTTTTGCTAACTCAAGATAGAAATCTAATTTATCTCAAGCTTGCTAAAGCCTATTAATAAAGTGGATATATTATTCAAGAGAATTTTTTGTCTGTAAAATGATCCAAGTATTCACAGGCAAACTTGCATTGGGGTGACAAAGGAAAGTCTCCATCCTTGCAGAAGCTCACATCCTGGCAAGGTGAGGCTGTAAGCAACACAACTACCAAGTTAGCACCAAGAGATGGGCTGGACCATGTGACATCCAGAGGTCCCTTTCAACCTAAATTACTCTGTTCCTCCCTAAAAGATTACATATGTATTTCCATGTAGGTAGAGAGTGTGACTGTGTGCATATGAATATTTATTTTCATATGTTGAGCTTGTGTACACAACAGACCTAAAAAGCAGAGGCCACACTTATTCTTGGGGGATCAAATGTGTGTATTTGTAGAGTAAGTTGACCTTGAGGTAATATTTAGTGTTAAGAAGGGAGCAGCTGATCTTGGCTCTTAAAAAAATGTAGAAATATACTTTCTGCCACCTAGAAATGCTTTTTGCTCACTCCTTTTGTCTCAGCTTAGACAATGAAAATGTCTAAAAAAGTATCTTTTTGCTTACTGACAATCTCCATTCAGGTTCTCAGCTTCTGCAGCTTGGGCAATTTATATAGCCTTGACAAGGAAATTTTTGGATTTGAGATTTTTAAGTGGCCCTTCTAGGATTTTCTTCACAGAAATCATGGAATCTATTATTTAGAAGTTCTGTAGAAACTATTCTTTAAATAAATATGATTGAAGAGTTTATGCATTCCTTTAATAACAAAAGGATCCCTTTTGTTTTATCTCTGGGCTACTGAAAAAAAGGCAGATAAAACCTTTGCCTCAGAAGTTTAAGAGGGATATGCAGAGAGTCACTTAAGTGTGTAAGCAATGTTTGTTTGTGTGGCTGAGCTCAGCCTGTGCTCCAGGGAGGCAGAGGCATAACCCTGCTCCCCCTTGTGTGTTTGGGGATGGGCAGCCACTGGCAGCTCCCCCACACACACTTGGCCATTATTACCGCAAAACAGAAGAGAATGAGGCAGAGAAAAGTGGGGGAAGATTTATTGACTGAGTAAAATGCTGAAAGCAAGGCCTCAGCCAGCTGTGGCAGAGATAATTGTGGGGTGTTTTGTGAGCTTTACTTTGATAATCTTCCAAAGCAGGCAGTCTGGCTTGCAGGCAGTGACTGGGTCTTTGATTTTGGGACAAGCCGGAAGAAGCTGCTTGACAACCCATGCAAAATATTTAACTGCAAAGAACAAACAAGATTCTGGACAGGCAAATAAACAGTGGATTAATTTATGAGATTTTAATGATGGAAGGAAAGCCCATTAAATCCAGGCATAAACAGCTCACATGGAAGCAGCTCAAGACCATGGAAACCATGCAAGAAATGCCTGTGTTGGGAAAGCACGCAAGCGTCCAGGGCGTGTGCTGGAGGGAAGACCTGCTTGGCTCAGGAGCCTGGCACAGCCCAGCACAACACTTCACCTGATGCTTTGGGTCCAGCCTGAGCAGGACTCTGCAGTGGGAGATCAACATTTTCAGGCTCAGAGGGCAGTGCAGTCATGCTTGCTACCTACATCTGCACCTAGCAAGACCTCCTCATCCCTACAGCATGTCAGATCCTGGAGGAGCTGTCGGTGATGGATTTTGTGAAACACCAGTTGGAGGTGATGCTCCAGACAATGTTCTCCTTGTTGGCAGTGTCAGTCCAACAACAATTCACCTCAGTGATGCTGCTGCCTCCCCTCATGCCCAGGGCTGAGATGAGGCTTAAAGCTTTGGTGATTCAAGATGAGATTCACAAGCACATTGTTGCCTCAGGGGTGGGTCAGGCCGAGCATCATGGTGAAATGTCAGCTTCAGCTGACTGATCTTTTGCCATGGTGAATTTGTATATCATAGACACCTCGCTAGATGGAAAGGGATTTCTGCTCTGAAGATCTGAGAACTGGGAAAACTGTGTAGCTAAGAAGTAAAGTGAATTGAAGCAAGTCCAATTATACCAATTATTTCTTGAGTCTTCCACTTCTTTAAAAGAATGAGGATTTTTTAGAGTACAGTCACTTTAAGCTGATATAAGTCCTTGCTGCTGCTAAGATGGGACATTTTTCTCCCCCCTCTCCCTGACTTCCCATTCCCATCCCTGTATTTGTGCTGACAGTAGCTGCTATTTGGAGGGATCTGACAACTGATTGAGAAAAAAACCAGTTTGCCATATCTGTCCTTGGAGGGAACTTCCTATACTGCAAGTCCATTCTGTTATCCTGCAAAAATTGTCCTTCCATGCCTCAGTTTATCCATCAGTAAATTGGCAAACATTACTTAAGCTCAAAGAAATGTTATTTCAGATTGCTTTGAAAAGTGCCATTTGCAATAACAGTGCAGTGTAAGACCGGATACAAAAAGATAGATACATCTCTCGAATTTGAGTCCTTAGAGGATGACTTTTTGAAGTGATTATTTAACCAGTTTGTGTTCCACAGATGAGAATATGCCCCTTTGTGTTTGATTTCATCCTTATTTTTCAACATGCTGCTCAACGACAACTACTGTCTTGAAGAAAGGAACAAGCAGTTGAATTTGAAGGAGCAATTTCTTAAGGCTGTTAGTAAAGAATGTTTGGCCCTGTAATAATTCTGAAAGGATTCTTTAACTTCTCATTAAAGAGAAGACGGCTTCAACAGAGATGAAACCTAGTAGCAGCTTACATTTAGGTCCATCTCATTTTTCTGCTCCTTTCTTACTTGGCTCTGCTGCCATTGCACAGGTATGCAAGCTGGGCCTCACCCCACAGCCTCAGGTGTGTGGACATTGACAACAGCAAATGCTCTGAGTGCAGCACTGGCTGAAACTGTGGCTCCATTGTGATGAATAGTAAAATTCTCCATGTGAGGCCAAGAGGAAGACGCCTTGGAAGGGAAGAGGGATATTCCCTTTAAAACTATGTACCCCAAACCCTTAATAATAAAGGAAAGTACAGGTCTTTATTGTTGACCTTTTTGCCTGCGATAAACTACTGTGCAAATTGTGTCTGTCTCTTTGATGTGTTAAGAGGATGAAAGGGATAATGCTGTCTCTAAAACCACTTGCTTCTCTTTAGAAATTATGTACCTATTATTCTTTCAGCAGCTGGGCTAATTAAAAGAGGAGCTGAAATACATCCCTGTTTTAGCTTTACTTGGTGTGCTTACTTTATGGTCACAGATCTTTGCTGGATAATTAAACTGCTGCTTCTACAGAGTCAGTTAGCAACCTTTTCTGCCTGTAGTGTGGGCTTTCACACAGTGGCAAGTGGGGAGAGGCAAAAAGAAAGGATCTCTATTTTAGAAAAAATCAAAGCCAGTGGAAGAACACAGGAGGAAACCTACAATACTAAGTGGAATCTGCCCACTTAATAGATGCACACTAATTTGACTGTCTTTTTAAAATAAACTTCTCTTTTAGTTTCTTCTCAGTATTTATGGCCTGGCATTTGTGATCTTATTATTGGAACTGTGGCCTTTTGTCTTATTTGAGAAAAGCTGTGGCAGGAAGAAATATCCAGGTTAAGACTTTTCAGAAGTTGCCATATCACCCTTCAGGCTTCAATTCTCTCTGGGACAGAGGATCTTATTCTGGGCAGAAAAATTCTACTAGTATGATCAGGAAGAGAATTTGTCTTCTCTGTGCTGTAAGACAAGGAATAGGAACAGGTAATGAATGTAGAATTTTTGAGTAAGTGACAGCATTGATGATGTTAGGCTTCTGCAATAGGAGAGAATGTTTGGAAATCTGTGGAGAAGAAGCAGCTGCAGTATTGAAATTAATTCATGACCACATCACATGAGAATGTGCTCGTGTCCTAAATGTAGAGGAGTGGAGCTGGACCTGTCTTGAGGACTTGCCTCTTGTAATGGTGTGAGACCTGCAACATGTTGACAACTTTAACTTGCAGTTAATGTTGCCCAGATAGAAACAGTCCACACAGACTGCTGCAATCCTCCACAAATTTTAATCCTTACAGCTCCCATGGAGTGTGTAGTCCAGCCCTGACCAAGGACTGAAGATGCTCTCAGTCTGCCAGGCCTCTGTCCCTGCTGCTGGCTTGCCTCCCTCCCTGTAGCCTTCTTTCCAGTTTGCCCCTCACCATTGTCCCTGTTCTTGCAGGAGGGAGAGGGGCATCACATGCTCAAGGGAGGTCCTGCTGCTGACAACTGCATCATCCTGTGGTGGTCAGGGGTCCTTCAGGGCTGGTGGAGAGAAAAATCCTGGGCATTGGCAGGCTTGCAGGGACTCCTGGGAGCTACTTGAAGAGACCTCAGGGTCAAAAGTGAGTAACCCCAGCATTTTTTCCAAAATAAAAAGCAAGTCTCTTCCCCTTTGTCCATGCTAGGAACCTAAACATGTGAACTGAAGTAACCCATTTGCTAAGATTGAATGCATCTGGATGTGTCTGAGTGCATCTGGCCTTCACTTCTCTAGACAGAGGCTGGAGGGGGAGGGGAAGAGAGGTTGGGAAGGGTTTAGATAGGCAGAAACACACAAAAACACACATATATTTTTAAGGAAACATGAGTCACTTGCACTCCAAGTTTATTCCAAAAAGTAAATTCCCAGACCGCCCTGACTCCTGCCCCCAGCTCTTGAGGCAGGCCCTGTGCAACTGGGTGTGATAAATATGGATAAAAATTGGATACATCTGTGGGGAGGAGACAAAACGCTATTTTCCAACCTGCCCTGACATGTTAAGGCCACTGCACTTCTGAGTTGCTCCCCTGTCTCCGAGAGCCCCTCCTGCTGTGGCTGGAGGAGGCCCCCTCATGCTGCCAGCTGTGTGCCAAGCAAGTGTCTGCAGCTGCTCCGCCACCAGCAGCAACAGGGCAGGGGAGGCATGGCAAGGAAGGACAGGGGACAAGGGGGACAGCTGACATCCATGTGTCCCACAGGCTCTTCCACACTGCTCCTGGTGTGTGAGGAGTGGGTGTTGGGGGAACTAGCACCCTCCCTCCAAAGCTCACAGCCCCACAGCCCTTGTGTCTCACTAGGCATTGCTGTCCTTCCTGCTGCCTCCCCTTGTCACTGCTGCCAAAGGGATCAGTGCTAGATGACTCTGCAGGTCAGAGAGAGATGTGCTGCCCCTGCAGCAGCAGGGGTTTATGCCCACCCAGCTGCCTGAGAGCCACAGCCTGTGCCCAGGGATGCTCTGCCACTGGCAGGGCTAGTTCTGTGCCACTCCAGCACATGGCACATGCCATGGAGCCACCTTGCCTGGCCAGTGTGCGAGGTGGCACGTGTCTGAGGGACAAGCCACTGCAGGGACAAGCCAGTGCATGTGGCACAGAGGTGGGGAGAAGCTCTCTGTGCTTGTGAGCCAGGGGGAGCTTTGGCAGGAGGCCAGCTTCCCAGGAGGGTGCAGGTGCTGCTGGCCAGCCTGGTGGGCAGATCACCCTGGCCATCACCCGTTCCCTGTGTCCTCAGGGTTTGGCAGGGAAGGGCACTGCAGAGGCAGACTCTGCTGCAGCCCCTGCTGAAGCACCATCCTTGACACCAGTTCTTCGCAGCCATTGAGATCTGAGTGCCTGCAGATCTGACAGCTCTCCTGGTAAGAGGAGTCAGCAGTGCTGAAATATGCAGCAGCTTCAAGATTGGGTGACTTGAGGGCACCTCACCTCCCAGTCCTTAGGGCTGCAGCTCCCAAGAAAGCAGCCCACGATGCTGACAGCTGGCTGCTGCAAGCAGGTCTGGACACCTCCAGGTGTAAACAGGCCAGGTTCGTGGCCATAACTACAGCAAATTTGCACTCAACAGTAAATGCTTTCTGCTCAACCTTATCAAGATAATACTTGCTGGTTCAGCAGAAACTGGGATGGGGCTTGCGAACAAAAAAGATCGTTCTGCTTTAACAAGGCTTCCCCTTCGAGAGAATAATATTGGAAGAGCTAAATCCCAGATTGGAAACAATGTGTGGGTTTTGTTTTCTTTTTTTCCTTCACTTTTTTCTCCCTTGCCTTCATTCTTGGTGTTGAGGCTGGAGAGGAAAATCTCTGTCTTGCCAAACTAAACAAATTACGCTTTACAATTCAGAGAGTTAAATGCCTCTTTTTATCATCATTTCCGTAGCACTGAGTGTTGAGAAAATAAAAGGAGTAATAAGCAAAGTGATTGCATACCTTTTTCTTAATGGCCATTGGCAAACAGATTCAGCCAGTTGTTTCTCTTTAAGGCTATTAAGTTTGCCTGAAAATCATTCCTGGGTAAACCTACACACACACACACACACACACACACACTCTCCATGCTGACAAGAAAAAAAGTACATAAAGCAGAGCCCTTTCTTTCTATTATTGCTGTCCCTGCAGATCTCTCTGCTTCCCATGACAGCGCAGGACATGAAACCCCTCTGACCACACTGAAGGAAGGGGGCTCACTCGACCGTGCCGGGAACACACACGCTCTCTTACAGTACCTCTTGGCAAGCAGGAGATGAGCAGGAGCTGCAGAAGGGTGAGTCCTACAAGTGTCCAGGGTGCTGGCTCCATGCTGCCCAGGCCAGTGCAGCGGTGTGACTGCTCGGGGAGGGAAAGCAGGCAAACAGCTTTTACTGGGACCTCACCAGCTCCAGGCTGCGAGGGATCTCGGATTTCAGACCTCAGCACGCTCCCATCCTCACCAGAGGGGAACTACCTTCAAGAGACTTCTCAGGCGTCCAGAAGCACACGTCACCCCAAACCTCTCCAACTGCTGCCTTAACCCTTTCTGGACTCTGGCAACAGATCCTTTCTGTGATGGCTTTATTGGCTCAGTGCTCAGAACACAGATAGCAGCTTTCCCTAAGTAAAGAAAGCTCTTTTAAAGCGGGGAGAAAGAGAAATGCAGATATCTCTCTATATGAGCCATCCGGGTGAGCTGAAGTTGCAGGCATCTCCAGAAGGAGGCACTTTGTCCCCTTGGGCTTGTGGGGCTGATGCATCCCGGGGGTGCCAAGGCAGGGTGTGGGGTGGGTGCAGAGAGGGATTCCTGTCCCACACTCCCACAACTGGCCAGCCTGGCCAAGTGACACAGTTCGCTTTACGACGTGCTTAAAATAGCCGTGCGTTTTTATGGCGGGGCAGATGAATGAATGAGGCTCAGTAAAAGTTCACTCCACAGTGGATGAAAACCACAACACACAAAAGGAATCACTTGGCACACGTGTGCTTGTGCTAGTCAAAACCTTCTTACTGTCCATTTCTGCCAGGAAATGCAATTTTGGCAAATTTGAAATGTTTTGTTGGAACATGCTGATATTGAGGAAATGTCTAATCCAAACAAAGGAGACCATTTAGTTTGGATTTTATCTTTGTGTCATATTTTGTTTTGCCTTTTCTATTAGCACATGCTACTGACTTTTTTTCTGGTCTTCAACCCATATTTTATAGCAGCATACTTAATTTTCTCTAAATTTTTCCTTGAACAATTTTTTAACACTTTCCGTAGGATGCTTTTTACCTCTAAATCATACTTTCTCAATTTGATTTCTATAGCAAGATTTCAAAATTAACATATATTGTGAGGAGGGGAAAATTGAAAAATTGGCATTTGCTTTGGAATAGGAAATCAAGTAACCCAAAAAGCTTTAACAAATACCAACAGTTTGTAAAACTCAGGCATGTTGAGCAGCCTCAAAAATTTGAGCCATTGCCAATGGAAGCCTTGAGTAGTTCAGTGCAATGCAAAATCGCCTACACCTTCAGGTGGTCTTTCATGGGCTGAATTCCTTTAACCAGACATCTCTCTAGTTTAGGCTTGTCTGTCTGCCCACCTCTTCACTTGACAGTGTGAACAGTCTTTTCAGGGTTTGTGCACCTTCCATATAAAACAGTACCAAGGTATTTTTTTCCCAAATCTTTAACACTGATACAAACTTGCCATTGAGAATACTGACAGAAGAAGACCAGAGATGGGTGTCAAGATTTTAGCCATTATGGCACATAATCCTTGCTGAGCTAGCCTGGCTGCTGCCCTGGATGCTTTTCAGCTCAGGAGGTCACCAAAGCTCTCCAAGTCCCACTGGGCCTTATTATGGCTCAGTTATTATGTTCTCCTGGAGCTCTTGGTGGACATCTCTTGCCTCAGGGCCCTGAAACTCTGCCTTGGTGGTCCCTTGCTCCTTTCTGATCATTCATATATATGCTCTAAACTCCTAATTCCAGCTTTGGGTTTCTCTAACAAGCCATTTCTGGTCAGTGCCAGGAGAAAAAAATCGGAGGATAAAATTGAAGCCCCCAAGAGTAGATGAAAACAGTGCAAACAGGAAGCTCTGACATCTTCACAAAGAAACACTAACCTATTTTAAAGCCTGTGGAATCATCCGTTTATTTCCTAGCCATTCTTTCCAGTAAGCAATTAAATTCTTTAGGCTAGTAAGACCTTTTTGGACTGCAAGTTGACTTACAGATGTCTGAGGCTTAGATATCTCTGAGGGGCATTGCTCATGGGGATGCAAACCGAAATCTGGGTTTGGTGTGTAAAGCAAATGCAAATCACAGAGCACTGAAAGAGGCTGGACACAGGGAAGCAGAGTTTTCATGCCAGACACAGAGGATTTAATACATGGTTTCATAAAGGCCAGAGCCACTGGGGAAAATATGCCCACAAGGGCCACAACTATTCCTTTCAGTCAATTCCTGTGGTGAGACCTTCAACATGCTAGAAAAGGAATAGATGAAGTTGTGTCTTTGCAGGAATCTGCTCTGCAGGGACACCTTCTGTTTTAGGGTAGAAAAGTGGTCCTTCTGTACTAAGGAGGTGTGAACTAAAGGGTTAACTGGTAGATTTATGACATCTTTTTTTCCTTTTTTTTTGTCTCTGAGGAAAAGTAATTATGCCACCAGAAGATATAGCCACACTCAGCATTACGGTGCTTAGCTTAGCTTGGCACCTTGCAAAATCAGTTTAGTTGGTGGTTCCACTGCCTCCTTAGAGAATGGCTCAGCAGCCAAAGAAGAGAATTCAGTCTTAAGCCCACAAGTTTGCACATGGCCAGCTTACACAGGCTGTCTGTTGGGGTGCAGCTTTAGTTCCTTGAATGACTATGGGCAACCTGCACAGTGCTCCTGAATGCCCTTCTTGCATTTCTATTAAGAGGCAGGGACCAAACCAGGCACCGTGCACCAGCCAAATATTTCAGGTTGTATGTAATCCCCCATGAAAGAAAGCTGAAAGCTCTTAACCATGTGTCTGTGCTGCTGAGGAATCTCACTGTAGCATTTGGCTCCGATGCTGTATCTGCCTTACTGTTGGATGTAAAGGTTTGGAAAGTACATTCCACTGAAACTGAATTGTAAAAGAGAGTGCTGCAGAAACTCATAGAGTTATTGTGTATTAATAATAACTTCCAAGTACCTAGCAATCCAGTTCAACTTAAGAGTAAAACAAGATCTTCAATAATTAATAGTTGACAACTGAGTGAATAATTAATGTGCAATTAATATCACCAGCTATGTTTCTAAAAATTTCCCATGAAATCTTAAAAACAGTGTGTGGTCCAACCTGCAAAAGCAGAAAAAATGTCATTATTTTATACTGGGGAAAAGTGACATGCAGGGGTATGAGCTGAGGCACATATCCTGAAAAACAGTGGCAGGTTCCAACAGAGTGGAGCACAGACTTCATTCCATTTGGTACTTGTAGCTCTGGACTGTCCTGCTTGAGAGGACTCAGTGAAGAATAATTAAAGATGGATATATAGTTCTGAATAAATTCAGTTTGGACTTGAAATAAAAATTTTTGCTTTTCAGTCTTAAAAATTTTAGTGAACTTTTTATTTCCCCCCAACCTACAGAAATCTCTTGTTTCTATTACTGGAGCATTGCCAGAAAAATTTCTGCTTTTGTGACTTCTGCTCAAATGATTCTGTCCCAAATGTTCTTGATCATTGTCCAAAGCTCCAGAGGTTCTGCTAAGAGGAAATCTGTGATTTCAATGTTACACACTTCTGCTGCTACAGAATAGATACCTTCACAGGACCTCCTTCTTACAAGAACATTTGGAGCCCATTTCTTTTTTACAGGCAATATTCCCACTTAACTAGAGGAATCTTCTGCCAAAGAAAGAGTTTGAATCATCTGGACTCAAACATGCTCTCAAGAAGATTGTTGGAATTGGGTCTTGAACTTTACTGACTGCCCAATAATACCCATGCCACTCAAACAGTATATGGAGAAACCACTGGAAAAACATCATAAAATAAAATGGTTCCCTTCAGAGGGTGGAAAGGGTTTGTGTCTCAGGGGGAAATAAGTTCAGATGAAAATCAGATCTGGCACTTCAGGAGTAACAGCAAGAGAGGTTAATGAAAGATTAGCGCTTCTCCCTTCAAAGCATTGTTGTCCAATAGGGAGGGTCCTTTTAGAGGAGAGATTATAAAGTGTTTGCCTTTAAAATAAAGCTTCTAGACTAAATTCCCGACCTTACTGGAATATCTGAGGAACATTTTATAAGCTCCTAGGATTATCAAAAGTATACTTTGCCCTTTGGGCTTCAAGTTCTGCTGAGCATGTGCAATGCAAATATCCAATGTTCATGAATTACATTGGAATTGTGGCAGCCTACCCACACAGGCACCTACAGATAAGGGCCCTTATTTTGGCTTTTTCTGGCCTGAGCTCTGCAAAATATTCCCATCTCTCTGTGGGGTGTTAATCCTGTGACTGGAGCATTACAGCCCAGGAGAGCTAACTGGGCGTGAATAGAAGTGGCCAAAAGAGATAGAAGCTGCAGTGCCAGCACACAATACAGCCCATGACCTAATGGCAGGTAAAGATGTAAAGAAAATTAAAATGCTTTGTTAGAAAGCATTTGTATTTGATAATGTATTTGCTAGCAATATTTTGTCAGGAAAATTGAAACAGCTCAAAGTTTACAATTCCAAATATATTTCTGGATGGGTCAGCAGAAAAATATGGCCAGAAAACTATGACTGCTTAATGGCACAAACCAAGCAATATGCCTTTTTTTCAGTTACTATTACATGTCTTTGTCTGGATGGTTTTTTCAGTGATCCTTCTGTGTTTCACTTTTGTATGCAGTCTATGATAATCTTCACCATAGCAACGTGTAAGAAAAGAAACAGGTGGAAGGTTTGGCTTGAAATTAAAACTAGCCAGTAGGCAATCCTACTTAACAATCAGTCAGACACTGATATTACTGTCTAAGAGGATAATAAAAAAGGGCTGCAATTATTTATTTCCCTGTGTGGAAATTACCAGCTTGTAGATTCAGCCATTCTTGTGATACACATTTTTGGTTTGAAGGTTAAAAAATAAGGCTTTCTAGGTTAATGAATAAAACTTTTAGTCTGTATAGCAAATTCAAACTAATCACCAAAACATGAGACACAGAAGATTAGGAATTGTTTTGATTTTATTTAAGTTGGACTTATGTTTTATAGTCTTGGGTGCATGTGAATCGGGATGGAAGCCAAGAAAAGAGTAAGGTTTTGGGCTAACCATGTTCCACCAAGAAGGCCAACTACAGCATGAACTCCCGTCAGATGAATGTATGCATGAAACAAAGGTCAGAAAAATGTATGTGGGAAATAATTGGTGGAAGGTCAGCTTTCCATAGGTGCTCAGTATCTGATTTTTCAACTGCAAATGTGGAAGAGCAGCAGTTCTGGAAGTACACTTCACAAGCTGTGACTGTACTGTGGCTAGGTAATGGAGATAACGATGTAGGACTCGAGCAGTGCTGTCCAACAAACTAAGAGCTTAGCCTCAAGTACTGCTTTTTTGTCATCTCCTTTTCTCCCTTCATTGCTCCTCATAAACTGAAATTGAGGCTCACTTTCTCTGTCCCTGTAGGTCAAATTTGCCAGAATGTCCTAAGGAAGGTTCTGTGAAAACATCTATCTGGGAATAACAGTGAAATTCCAATAACAAGGAGTAACAAAACCATTCACCATTTATGCAGTTGCTTTACATGTCATACAAGTAAATAATCATGAAATGTACAATAACACACCATTTATTTTCCTGATGCAACTTTTGGGAGTTCTGCTGCTCGTCATTTTACACCACCTTACACTAATCAGTTCTCAGGTTTTTTGTACTTCTCCCTTAGTTGACTTGACTGACCTTGACAAAAAGGGAGAGACTGAAATAAGATGACAAAGATGATAAAAAGCAATATATATAATGATTCAGAAAGAAAGAACAAGATTACCCCGACTAATAGATGAAGTGGCTGAGATCTTTCAGACCAGCAGTCTGTTCTGAGAACAGTTGGACAAGGTCACCAGGGGATTGCAAAATTTGATCTCATGTTATAAAAATATATACTGCTCAAAATCCCGGACCAATGTGCAGTCACGTCATCAATTTTTATTAAAAAAAAAAGTCATTGACATCTTCAGCTGCTGCAAACCCAAGTGCTGAGAAGCAAGTTGCTGAAAAATATCATTTTATCCACTTTTTCTGTCCCTACCAAGCACTGATGTGCCAAGTTGTCAGTCCTGATGGTCCTGCTCCCACACAGTTATCCTCCATGTCATCCTTGTCATCTTTGAACTCTGGTGTGCCAGACCACAGCTGCTGTTTCACTTAAATACTTAGAAAAATTTTCCTAACAATTTTTCTTTTATTATTTTTAGGCAGCGACCCTGGAATATGAGTCGGATCATACGTTGTTAAATATTGTCCTTCAGAAGTTAACCTGTGCATAATTCTGAAGCACAAATCCCATCCACTGCCCTTGCATAATTCTCAGGGGAAAATTTGATTTGCATCTGTGAAATCACCAACTGTGGCACTTTTCAAGAATGCAGCCTCAGCAACTATAGGATATGTTTGTACCACAAAATCCTCCTCTGTGTATTGAGTACCACAGAAAAATACATCTTGACACAATTCTGCTACTTACATAGCTATATAAACTGGGGAACTTTAGACAACTTATAAGCTGTTACTCAAGTAAAAATGCCCTGTATACAAAAAGTGTGAACTAAAGTGTTTATTCAAGTTAATAGAAGATCTTGTGTAGCTCATAAGATGTTTGTTTAAGCAATTGTTTAAGATAACCATGAAGATACTACACAGTGCTGATCACAATGGCATTTCAGGCCCTGACCTAGTAAAGAATTTAAGCATGTGCCTAACTTTGGTTGCATCAGTAATGTCATTGAATTCAGTGGGTCTTAATGACTCATTAAAGTTTTTGAAGCCTAAAAGTGCCAGTGGATAGCCATATCTGAAACTGGGAGAAGTGACAATGCCAAGGGTGATGTGGAAAGTTTCTGCCCAAGTCCTGGGGTGGCTGAGCTTCCCTCACCTGCAGAGATAAGAGGCATCACTATCAGTACTGCAGGTGCTGCCCTTGGCCCTCATGTTGCAGTGTGCTGCCTGCTTTGTACAAGAAATAAAAAGAAATAGATTCCATCAGAGCTGATTTCTCTCTGGGATTACCACCAGACTAGCACCAGAACACTGCTTCAGAGACACTGGAAGAGTGACAGGAATTCTAATTTCTAAATCCTTCAGCATACATTGTTAATAAGTGTATCAGAGTTTTAGCAAGTATTTATGTAGAAAACTCCAGGATTAGAAATCAACACTGCTGGTTCACTTTAAAGATTAAAAAAACTCAGTTGAAACAAAAGTTAAAGATTTTTCCACAGTATGATTGCTCCCTTGGCTTTTAGCATTCAGTGGTGTGCGAGTTGACAGAGAGGGTATTGATTTTTACTACTTTGAACATTTCTTCCTAGAATGGGAGCAATAAAAAGGACTAGAAAAGAAATAACAGCAATTCTTGTTTTCTCCAGCAGGGCTTTGATCTTACAAGTTTGAGCAGTAAAATAAAGGAATAGTCTCTTCCATTGCACTCTGTCCTGCTTGAAAATCCACCTTTCTCCATCTTTGTTATTATTTCTCTATCTTGAAGCCACAAGAGTACATGTCTCGTGGCAGCACAGATTTAAACTTCCTGCATGACACCTTCACAAACTCCTATTGCACTATAACACAAAAAAACATTCAAGAAAAGAAAAAGTCTATAGAGAAAAATCTGCTTCAAGTAGTTTTAACTGCTTTAGTTTCTGCTGCAAGATTATTGACTTTTGTGGGGGGTTATTCCTATATATTTGGTTCTGTCCACAATCCCATTGTTTATATTCAGTCACTATTTTCTGTGTGAAGAATCTCTTGGCCACTGACATTTGGTTTAGATTTCTTTTCATGTATTTTTAATCAAAGGAAAACGTGATCCAAAGCCAGGCAGATTGTGCTGGTTTGGCTTGCACTCATTATGGGGCACAATATTGTCTGCTCCTGCAAAGTGCCTGTGCCAGAAGGGTGGCAGGATCTGGCCTTTGGTGCCAGCCCTGCTCTGCTGCTCGGGCAGAGTAAAGCTCCTTTACATGTTTTAGGATTTCATCAAGTAAAATAATCCACACGGGCCTCGCTGTAAACCAACACATGGAACAATAAGATGCATGTGAAAGAGATCTGCATATTCCCTGCTATCTGGAATATATTTGGTATTGTCCTCTTCCTCCCTGTGGTCATACCTAAGGTAGACCCCCTGCAATCTTTTACAGCTTTTCTCTTTGAAGTATAACCTAACAACTGCAAAAAGAAGAACAAAACATAAATCAAAATGCCTTAATAAACAGTACTCAGAAATAAGTTGGTGAGACTTTTTTTTACCCTGTGTGTAGGCAGAGAGTAAAGATTTTAATCAGTTTAAGATTCTTTTATAAGGTCAGAGTGCTCAGTGTGATTAACTAGATATGAAATTTGGCAGGCAATACATTCATAATATGATCTAATAATGTTTGGTTGTGTGGGGAGGGAAAGAAAGAAATTGGCTGAGAGCAGATTGCTTAAAAGTTGGCAACCTTGCAAATACTGTAACTTCTCTATGGAAATCTCATCAGAATGATGAGCCAGCCATCTTTTCCAAGCTTGTGCAGAAATTTTCCTTTCAAAATATTTGTGCCTGAGAGATAATGGATGACTTCTATTACTGGATGGCTCCTGCAGTGCATTTTCAGGACTAACCTGAAGTATCCCCTGCTATTTCATTATTGGACCACAAACTGCTTTGCCAAAAGCCTCACTCCTCAATCCGTCCCTTTTTTTTCAGGCCTAGGGCTAATAGATCTGCTGGAATATTGTCACATAAATGCAGCCAGGCCAGACAAGATTAAGTATCCTCTTTATATAGCATTCTACCTCCAGAAATGACCAGATAATTTCTTATTAGTTCACCATATAAAACCTTAAGCTCATTGGGATAACCTTTCTAGCTCACAGTTCTATCTTGTTCTCTACTAATAAAGGCCATCTCAGCTCCTGAAGTGTTTTTGGTTTAGTAATTATGCTTCTTACCTCTTGCTCTCTCTCTATATATGTTTATTTCCTCTTTAAAACATGTTAATTTTTCCTCCCAGAAATGTGTGGTGGAATTGATTATCTAACTTACTTTGCACACAAGAAAAATTTGTCTAGTTAGGTTTGAACTTCCTACATTCTTTTTTATTAAATTACCCTTTGGTTTCCAAAACCCAAGACAAAGAGTTAAACCACACCTCTCTAACATTTTCTTAACTCACCAGCTTGGTATTTTTTGTTAAGAAAAGGCTCACTGGCTTTTTAAATGCCACCAATAGACAAGTTTAGTGTTCTTTACTCTGCTTTTCTCCTTTTCCTCTCCATCCTTTAGTTCCACAATATCCATTTGAAATGCAGTGATTGGGATGAGGTGAGTATCCCACAGGGGTCATTCCACTGGTAAGATTAAAGCATTGCATCCCTCTCTTGATCCTGCTCTCTGTCCATACTTGCTGGTGTGCTGGATTGCAGCTGCCACTGTAGCCACCACCTCCTTGGCCTGCCCAGAGCAGGACCCAGTTCATTTGCCTGTTCTTTCTTCCTGTCTCTCAGACAGTTTTGACCCATACACTTTGATTCTGAGCCATGTTGGTTTAAATTTATTTCTGTTCTTCTATAATGCACCTCAGAAGAGGCTGCAGGGAAGTCTGAGCTATGACAACCACCCATCCTCTACCCACTGCTTTCCTCTCCTGCAAATTCACTGTTTTTTTGCCTTGCAATGCCCCTTGCTATTCTGAGCCCTGAGGTTCTCCCAGCTCCAGCACAGCTGCCACTGCTCTCATCTGCTGCAGCCTCAGATGGTTCCTGCTGAACTTCTGTTTTCACCTGTGCAGTTCCATTATTTATGATGTGGATGTCCCATGCAGCCCCACTGGTATGAGCAATCATTGTGAACATCAACTACTTTTGCCACAGAAATTTTAATTTTTTTTTTAATATATCTTCATGCCCTTCTTCCCCATAGGCTCAAATATGCAGGCACTAGGTTCCATTGCAATATCAGCATCAAGTGTCTGAAATTCTTGCACTGAAAATATTGCTTACATTAGAAATGAAAAATAATAGCACTGCTGTCAGTAAAGAATGATTCATCATTCTGTAAGGCTCTGGCAGTGGGACAAAGGGAAAATATTCAGGAAAAGGGAGTATTTTCCCAGTGTTGGTAAAATGTTCAATAAAATAAATATGATCTCCCTAGAGATCACAGGCAATGGACATCTAATTTCAGCATTTACAGGAAAGTGTCACTGTTTCTTTTATTCTTTGTAACTCCACAGAATAGGGGATGTATTTATAGAAGATTAATATCCAGATAGTGTTTTTCCCAGGAAAAATATTTACCATTGCTACACTCTCTTTTGGCTCTTCATTAATTTACACACGTTCTCAGTACTAATTGCCAGACAGTTCTTTGGTGCAGCCTTGGGCACACACTATTCATAGAACCATGGAATCATGGAATCACAGTGTATCCTGAGTTGAAGGCATCCACAAGGATCACTGAAGTCCAGCTCCTGGCCCTAGGCCATAAAAACACCCTGTATGCCCAAGACTGTGATCCAAAGCTTGTTGAACTCTACCAGGCTGGGTACTGTGAGCACCTCCCTGGGGAACCTCTCCCAGTGCCCAAACACCCACTGGGTGAAGAACCTGTCCCTAATGTCCAACTTAAACCTCCCATGATATAGCTTTGTGTCATTCCCTCCAGTTCTGTCACTGGTCACCAAAAAGAAGATTCTCACTACTGGAGACATTCTTTAGCATTGCAAATTGCCTTTAATTCACCCATTTATCTGTTGTATAAAATACCTTTTAATTTATGAAGCGCAGAACTAAATTGGTGATGAGCCAGTGTGACAGTGAATGCCACAGCACACTCCAAGAGTGCTTTTACTGGAAGCAGAACCTGCTTTGGAACAGGTGCCTCAGTCCCAGGCATGAACCCTGGTGTCCAGAACTGCTCTGCCATGGAAAGTGGGGCTGTAAGCATCTCAACAAGTGCCTGCCAGAAAAAAAGGGGTGCCACTCATTCAGACTACTGATAGCCTGCCCAAGGGAAACACTCTGGGAGGGAGGGCTGGCTAACAAGTGTCCATGAGCCTCTCCAACTTCTCTGCAAGAGAAAAGTGAAACATGCCTAACATCAAAACAAGAGGACAAGATGTTGGTGGTGGGCTGTATAAAACTGAGGAATTCCCAAAGGACAGGAAATCTTAGCAGGTGAGAGGATCAAAGAAATGTTTTCATAGCAGAAGGTCTTCTAATGTGTGGGAATGGGTAGTCAAAGCAAGCTGTTCAACAAGGAAGAAAAGCGAGAGAGAGGAAAAAACCACCATGACTGAAGAACAAAGTAAATTTTATTTATTGCTCAATTCAAATACCTGTAAAAGAAAACTAAGATACATTTTTTCTACTTTTTTCACTACTTTTCTTTTTTTATGTTTGCTTTTATTTAAGTAAATCATTGTATTTCACAAGGTTTTGCATCCAAAGGGTTTGCTTTCTCTGTCACAGAGTTACACTATTATCTCAAACACCCTCCAGGCAGAAATGCCAGAAAGAGAGGCTCCTGCTCCTGTGGCTGGCTGGTTTGGGCAGCTGCACCAAAAACAGGCAAACCCATCCTGTGGTGGATCATACACAGTCAAGAAACCTCTCAGAGAGATGCTTATCTTCATAAGGGTAATGTTCACCATTGAATGGCTCCTGAAATGCTTTCTGCAATGGAGATGGATGGAATATCTTATCAAGATCATAATCTGGTTTAAACTGCCCTATCAAATGTGAAGTTTAAAAAGTTTTCAGATGTCTCCAGAAATGTGGTTATTTCTGGCATAAGGGATTAGCTGTTGGGTTTTTTCCCTTATCCTTTGCTTTTTCTTTCCAGCTCAGCCTCTTATCCCTGTGTAATGGAAAGAAAAGCCACGATCAAAATTTCATGGCTAATGATATGACAGAGTTCACAGGTGAAGGAAAATTATTGATCAGGCCAAGTGATACAGCTGGAAAAAACAGACAAGCTTTCAAGCACACAAGCATAAATGAGTCCAGAAGCTTGTCAGTTTGCCCCAGCTGTGAAACTTGGTATTTATTACAAGAGCTATTTCCTCTCTCTGTGACCTGGTTTGTATGGATCCTCTGGGGGCACAGTATGGAAAACCTGCTGGGAGCAAGGGAGCCCAATCAAGTGTCCTAGCATCCCACTCTATAAATTGGAACAGCCTTGGCTGAAGAGTGCCTTTGTTGCCCTGAAATCACTCTTATTCAATCCACAATAAAATCAGTTACAAATAAAAGCATTTTTTCATGACACCCAAAATAGATAATATTGTCTCAGAATCTATGAAAGGCAAAGCTGAAGCTATGGAAGGAAAACTAATTAGAGATTCATTAGGGAGGGAACTTCCTCCTACAGACCTTTCTCTCTGCCTTTTCCCAGCAGTTCATTTTAGCCTTTCCCCATGCCCACCTGGCAGGGATAATCCTGTCCATTTGCCTTTCCCCTCAGATTTAATCCACAGAAGGGTTCAGCTGGGCAGATTACCACAAGCCTCGAGCCTGGTTTCTCCTGGATGCCTTCCAGAGAATGCAGGCAGGTCAGATCCGTCTCTCCAATATCCATTTATTTCTTTTCTATCCAGGCAAAATCCGGATTATTCTTCGTTAAAATATGGGTTGTTTGACTTTAACTGCAGTACACCAGGTGTTGTTTTCCACTCTCTGACCACTTGCTCATGCATTGTGCTTCCTTCCACATCCTCTCACAGCCATAAATGTGTATAACTTTGCACTGCACTGGACCTCACACATCACAGTAATTGTACATTAACAAGAGTGCTTGATGGAAGCATCTCTGTGAGATAACCCCACACATCTCCTGACTGGATTTTGACTGCAAGAAGACACAAAAGGAATTAAACACTTTATGGCAATTGAAGATTTGGCGTTGTTGACTGTGAACATCTTTCTTCTTAACACAGTCAAGTAAGTATCCTGCTGTCACACCTCATAGCAGTAATGAATGCTTTCTCGCAGCTCTGAGCAAGGAGATGATGACTACAGCTCATTTTTTACTTGAGGGACTGAGACAGATGGGCCGACAGATTAAGTTCACAAGTGTATTTGTCAACATGGTCCAAAATTAGATGCTTAGACAACTTTTTTGTTTGCTTTTAAATTCTATCGCTTCTTACAAGAGCGCCAGAGCAGACTCCCACTGGCTTCCACTACTGCTGTTGGTGACCATCCTTCTGGTGGTCAAATGTTTGGATGCCAAGTGAGGAATCCTGAAAAACCAAATTCAAACAGGTGAAAATCTTGGCTTAAGAAACCCAGATGAAGTGTTTGAGGTTTCTGTGCCACTCTCTAACAGAACTGTGGATAAAATCTGCTGGATTCTGCCTGTTAGAGCAGAAGGCGTCCTCTCTTTCTTGTATTCCCTGATTCAATTCTCCACAATATAGCCAATTTCTGTAGGCTGTAAGGCAGATGTCTGACCACTTCCTACCCTTGCTTAAACACCAAAAGGCAGCATTTTACAAAGCTCTCTCCCTTTGTGTCACTCTGTACAATATAAGCAAAGCAATTGGTAGAAATGCTTGTTTGGAGGACGAGTGTACTTTCGGTGCTCCCAGGAAACCCTGCTGTCTGAGCAATTGCTGTTTTGTTTTTGTTCCATTATTTTAAACATTCTGAGACATTTGAAGCCCGGAATGAGCTGCAAGGTCGGCTTCTCAAGGCTGAGGGTGAGACCCACAGCTGGGCTGCCTGTGACTTGGTGACTCTCCAGCCAGAAACTTCTGCCTTGACTGGGGCACCTTTCTGACATTTGCTGGGATATGAGGAGAAGCAGAAAGGAACAATGGCATAAGGAAGTGCAGGGTGAGTCTGTGCTGTCCTTGTTCCTTTCAGAGACAAATAAGCAAAGGCTTGAAAAGTGGGACATATTCTCCCTCCTGAAAAACCTCCATGCTCTTCTTGTTTTTAACCTTTCAAGCATCAGAAAGGTCAAGACTTATCAGAACTGCTATTCCTTGTGGAAATGCAAGGATATTTGTGTTGCTGGCTGTATAGGGCAGACTGAGATGAATCTGCAGCAAACTGATGGGTTTTTTTCCTCCAGCTGTCTTTAGTAGTGTTGCATTAAACATGTACTAACAAAAGCCAGAATTTTAAACAGTCAAGGTATAATTTCCTTTTTCTCTAAGTTATTTGTGCCATACCTTTATCAGAGATATCATAATCCTATTAGTTAGTAAGCTGTCCAGAGGGTTTATCAGGAAAAAGAGTAGAGAAAAAATCTGAATTTTTCATGTGCAAGGTATCTGCTGAAAAGTTCTCTGAGAATATCTGTAAAATGCAAACACTTTCAGGCTTTCTTTATAGACAGAAGAATGCAAAGCAAAGACATGGGTTCCTCCCTTTGTATCATCTCCAAAAGCTGGGAAAAGCTGTGGTTAAGTCACCATGGAGGTATTTAAAAGGTGTGTAGACAAGGTGCTTTGGGACATGGCTTAGTGGTGCAGTTGTTAGTAGTAGGTTTATGTTGGACTTGATCTTTTATAACCTAAATGATCCTATAATTCTGAGAGTTTTCTGATTCCTCCTGCTCCTGCAGGCTGCTTTCCTTACACAAGAGGCCCACAGCTGATGTAGTGAAAACCAAAAGTCTTTCAGCTGTCAAAAGATGTTCATCTGAACAGTAATACCTCTGATCCCACTGTTATTTCAAACATCTTGGGTTCCACTTCCATGCAGAATGTACCAGGGCTGCCCCAGGGAACAGTGGCACAGGGATCCCCAGTGCTCCTGGAGCAGCACAGGACCAGGGTTTGTCACACACAGAAGCTGTTCATGTGTGCACAAAACAGGCACTGGGGGAGGGGGAAAACACTGCACCGGCTTTTCCTCTAAAAGCTGCTGCAACACCAGAGCCCTGGTGCTGAACAAAGCTATGTGAAATGTGCTCAGCTGAAACGCAGCATTGCATAGGATGAGTGTCACACACTTGAGAACTTTGGTCAAAAAGGATCCCTTTGTCTGGAAGGTACCTGGCCCTAGTTCTGAGGAAATTTGGATGTAATAATGAAAAGCATAAACTGCTTTTTATTTCTTCTTTTTTTTTTTTTTTTTCCTTTTACTTGGAAATTGCTGAAGCTGAGAGAAGAGAAATCCGCTGAGACAGGAGCCAAAGAAAAGAAAAAGGTTGTCATTATTCTCATCTACTCTTTTACCCTCATGATGCCTTGCCAGGACACACATTGAAAAGTTTACTGGGTCCTTGAATTAAGGAACACAACTATCTTTCTGTACAATGAAATCAGGTATATTTCAGAGTGACACCAGGGAGACATATTCAACAATGATGTCTTTTGTACAAGTGAGAGGCTTTATTCAAGAGGAAGATAGCTGTGATGCTGATAAAAACAATTATTTGTAATTTGTTATTTGTAATTAATTGATATGATGTTTTTCCTCCAAAAGACCTCACAAAGAAGAGCATTCTTATCCTATCATTATAGCAAAAGGGAGCTTTTACAAGTAATGAAGGAACCAGTCTAAGATCAAATGGTAGATGGTGGGTGAGAAATAACCACTGTCCTGTTCCTGTCCCACATGTTTAGCCTGACCTGGGAAACATGCTGAAGGTAAGAGTTGCTTCCTCAGTCTGATCTTCTGAGGGAGGAATTAGCACTCATTAAATTTCATCTTCTCCCTCTACTGCTGCTGCTGCTGCTACTCTTCATCCCCTCTTGCCAGCCTGGGGATTGTTGTTTTCTCCAGCCCCTGAGCAGGCTGGACACAGAAGGAGCATCACTGAGGAGGGCAGGGTTGCTGTGGCTGTCACTGCTGTGCTCTGAGCAGGGGGCTGCACACACACACGCAGGCACAGCTCACACCACGCACACTGCAGCTCACAGCAGCCTTGCTGTGTGGGAGTAGCCTGTCCTGTCCTCAGAGCAGCAGATGTCCAAGCCATATGTCTCCTCCTTAAGAATCCTCCCAGCCTGGGACAGCCTTACAGGAGGTAAGGGCAAGGGCAGTGAGGAAATGCAATATCGCCTTACAGGAGGAGAAAATTCCAGTCTGGGAAAGAGATGCTTAGAGCAGCTGAATAAGAAACAGATATGTATTCACTTGCCTGAGATTCAGGTGTTATTGCCATTGAATGCTGAGAAGCAGTCTTGTGATGTCATTTTTTAAAATTAAATAACAGTTAAACCTGATCCATTTTTTATAAGGAAATATGTCTTTTTCACAAAGATCATTTCGAACTTATTGTACGTACATCATTAGGGGATAGCAGCTACAGGAGCCTGGAAATCCAGGTGCTGAGCTTTGCAGTGCAATGTGCTGCAAGGGAACAGCCTGGCAATCCTTTACACAGCAAGTTCACCCAGTGATTATATGGAAGTAGCTTCACCAGATGAAGCCTCATTATGGCAGATGCTGTGCATGCACAGGGAGAGAACCCCTGCCCAGATGGGTTATGGTCTCTCTAACGTAGACACTTCAGAGCTTGAAGGCATAATGAAAGGGGATGTCTTGTCAAGGATCTCAAGGGAGTTTTGTGGCAGAAGTGCAAACACAATAAATTCAGATCTGCTGAGCTAAAGCCTGTGTCCTGACTTCAAAAGCCCCTGCCTTTCACTGAGCAATTTCATACTACTTTTTTCTTGTCTCTTCTCTCCAGATGTTTACTGGAAACTACTGTGGCATGGTGGTTAGAGATTCAGATCCACAAAGGAAATAAAAGAAACAAGAGAAACCTCCTTTGGGCTACTCTGGATAGAACTCAGGAGGTTTATGTATGGAAAATAGCTGTTTGCCAGGGATTTGGGGGTTGAAGGGAGACCTGTGAAGTGTCGTCACTAGGGCCAGGATAAATGGAACAAACCCCAGCACATCCTGAACAGATACATCATTTTCAACAGAGTTGTCAATTAGCACAGAGCAAGTCAGATGTCACTGGAGAAAAATCTCTGCTCTTCAGGGAAGGGAGGAATCTCTCCGTGACTCAAGAGCAGATGGTTTGGCAGCAGCAGCACAGCCAACTCCTAGCCCTGGATTAACAAATTACAGAGATATGCTTTGTATTTACAGCACATGACTGGAAAGAGGGCTCAGGAAAAAAGGATAATGTGAGAAGAACTCACATGTAATGTCAGCTGAGTGGCCAGAAGGGATTCTCAGCAAAGCCAGCAGCCTGCAGCAGGATGCTGCCTGTCTCCCTCTAGCAGATATACACTTCTGTTCGGTGTAGGATCCGACCTTCTCACTCGAGATAAAACACAGCATTATAAAATGCTGATATTTCCCCCTCTCTAGTTCTCACTGCTTGAATTAATGCTGAGCCTGTGTCTTTAAGCCCCGCTTGTTTCTTCTGTGGTTGCCATAGCATTTAATGTTTCCATGTTTGAGATTTCCTTTTTTTTTCCTTCCAGACATTACTCCATCAGCACAATTCCAGACCTGGGATTCCAGCCACTTTTGGCTAAAGGGAAACTCATTTTTGTTGCTATAAAAATATCAAGCCATGTAAATGCCTGTGGCTCAGATTTAGGTCCTGTGTCTAGGAATAGCAGCACAGCTGAGGGTGAATAAGAGAGGTAAGGAAGATGCAAACATCTCTGTGCATCTCATCTCATTTCTCGTCTCTAGGTCTACCTGTCCTTTCAAGGACAGGGAGAGGAAGGGACCTTTGCCATCCTCTGGCACAGCAGCAATCCTGATGCTTTTGTCAGGGTGATTTTTAGGGTGGGATATGCTTACCTCAGCTCTCAGCCTCTGGTTGTGTATCTGAAAACCAGAAGTAGTGAATGGATATTTAATTGCCTTAGTAAAGAGTCCGCTGGTACAGGGATGGAAGATATGAGCTAAGCACAAAGCACCAGCAATATTAAGCTATTTCTTACAGCATTATTAGCACTGCTTTCTGCAAAACATTGCTGTTGACTCATCCTGGCACTCAAATTATTTGGGCTGTACAATGTGTCAATCTGTCACAGTGCACTACAGATTGAAAGAATAGGATAAAGTACTCTGGGGAATATAGCATTAAGTTTTAACTAGCTCTAAGTAACTGCTATTGCTAATTATTAACATTATACATTTCGCTAAATTGCATTAAAATAAGAAAAAATTCTTATTACTTCAGTAGCTTAATTAGCTACTGTATTATGTCATATTGTAATATATCAGAAGCAGCAGTACATGCTAGCTATGTGTTGAGAAATTACATTAAAAATGCAGATAATTTTAGCAATGGGGAAAATTAAATTAAATTGGAAGTAATTATTTTGCAAACATAACATTTTATACAGTGCTTTTTTAATTTTAACACTTTTTCATTCAAATTCTACTTTTGACCCTCATGAATTTCAAGGAGAAGAAAATCTAATCTCAGTCCTGGGACTTTTCATGAGATTAAAATAAGAAGTGTGGTGCCAAATGCAAACAATTTTCCTGGTTTCTACCCACTTGTGGTTTTTTGTGGTTTTAGATGAATATTTCCTGAATACTCATGGGTTATGTTGCTCAGGGAAAACCCCTGAGAGAAAGGAATTTCAATAAAGAGCTTGTTGGCATTACTAAGGTGATTTCTTTTTATTACCACTTCTTGAAGCAGTATCTTTTTGTGTTTTGCCTTTTTTTTTTTTAACTTTGCACATGAAAGAATGTTTCTGGCAAAGGGGAAACTAGTAAAATCCTCAGGGTGAAAGTGTCTCATTTGAACTGTCTTGAGAGTCCAAAAGAAAAGAGGGCTAACAATAGCAGCAACGCTGAGAAGTTGGGTAAGTCGTGGTTAGGGAAGCACAAAATGTTGATCAGCTGTGGGAATCCCCAGGCCTCGCTGCCAGAGCCCTGTGCAACAGTGCAGGAACTTGTTGCTGCAGCAGTGAGGAGCCACTGCTCTGGAAAAGCACAGGCAAATGTTCTGGCTTCCCTGTGGAGACCCTTCCAGAGGCCGATAAGGCAGGCACAGCACAAAGCAGGTCTGCAGCAGAGCAGGAATTACAGGTCCATTTGTTGCGCAGCTCAGGCAAATGAATGGTGGACAATACCTGACCTTTACAAAGAATCTCTGGCTGGGATTTCTGTTATCTGAACATTTCCCATCACTGTGTCTCTCTAGGTTTGCCAGGATCCACAGTGAAGCCATTGAGCCATCAACCAGATGCACAAGTAACTAGTAAGGACTGACAGGCAAGGTGGTCTGCATCTTCTCCTTTTCCAGGTTCCCTGGCTATCAGAGAATGTGCACATTTCTGGGCAAGTCAAATTAGAGCCTGCAGTAAAAACCAAGGGGGATGTAAAAACATTTGCAAAATCAAGATGTACATCCAAGCAATATTGTCTGATGCTGCACAGCAGAACTGCAATTGTGAAAATCAAATCATGGCTTGAGAGGGGGAAGGCTCAAGCTGCATCTAAAATCCTAATGAGGATTTGAAAAGATCCTAAAGAGGATCCTCAATAAAGATCCTAAAAAGGATCCTAAATAAAGACCCATACAGGCAGATTCTCACAAAGATTAGAGACATAAAACCACTTATGGAAACTGCACATTGGAAATCCCCAGCTCAGCTTCTTATTAGCACAGGGCTGCTGACTTACCCCTGGCAGGGGGCAGCAGTGGATTCATCTTCCCTTCCCTGAGCTCCCTTCTGCACATGACAAGCTAAAAATGATTTTTTGTTCCAGCCTCCTTGCCAGCCAGCCTAATTACCCAGCAAATTGCCCCCTCACCAGCCAAGTTAATACACAAGCTAAATTCAATGTTTGAATTTGCACCAACAGAAATATTTTCGAAATTTAATAGCACAGCTGTTCTACTAAGGCTGCCTGAAGGGAACTCTTACCAACTTTTCTGGAGCAAAGGTTGATTTCATCTTCTGCTGTTTTATTTTAAAGGTCCAGATCCAGATGATGTCATCTTTTTGCCAATTGCATTCCTGTGTCAGCTGCATCCAGTCAACTGCATCCAAGAATACAGAATGTCAAAGGCTCTGTGCTCCAAGAAACATCTCAGCTGGCACTTGACTCCCCTTGGCTTCTGGACGCTGAGTACATGTGCACAGAAGGCTTTTGCCATTTCATCTCAAATCTGACATCCCAATTTGTACAGCTCTCGTCATGAGGACTGATTTTGATTGTGTGGTTTTGACTTCCCCACTGACAGTGACAGCCACAAACACAAATGTCCAGCCCACAGCTGGACAAACACATCAGGTGATGGGATGGGTGAGCAGCTAGCTCACAGGATGGGCACAAAGGGTTATAGAGAATGAGGGGACATCAGATGATGATCTGTCACCAGTGGGGTTCCACAGGGCTCCATCCTTGGCCCTGTGTGCTCCTCAATATCTTCATGAATTACTTGGATGCAAGACTTCCTCATTCAAGGTGGGGAAAAAGTTCTCATAGAGACAAGTTTTGAAAGAGCTGGGCTGTTTACTGCTATGTTGGTATTCAGACCATCAAGCCCTACTAAAAACAACAAATCATGGAATAACTTGTGTTTAAATAGAGATTCCTGGTGATCCACTGTCAGCATCTAAACAATTTTTGACATTTCAGAGCATTTGACCATGAGCAGATTCAACCTTGATGTTTGAAGATAATAAAGCAAATAAGATGGGTGTTGCACATTAAATATTATTTTGTTTCCCAGGCAGAATTCTTAACATGAGCTCATCTGAGCATGTCACAGCTGTAGTCTAAATCAGGGCCTGAGCATCATCCTCACATTGCATATTTCGTTTAGTAAATATTGTGCTTTCTTTGGTTTTGGCAGCAGGAGGCAGGAAGTTCTCAAAGTCCTTGTGTGGGCTCCTGAGTGCTGCAGCTCCTGATGAGAGGATATACAGAAGGAAGGTCCAAGGTCTTTACACAGGCTTTGTCCTTGTCCTTTGTTCTAGCAGGCAGAGAGAGAGCACCAAAAGTAATTTCAGACAATTGCTTCAGCTTGCCTGGCCATACACTGGCATAACACAGCAGCACAGAGTGTGGAGCAGGATCATGGTGATGTGACCCCTACCAAGCCACACTGCCCCTTGTTGGTGCTTAATTTGAGAAAGCTGTAAAAAGGCAACTAGAGAAGTGCAATGCATTTCCTTACACTTAGTTCTGCTCCAGAATAATAGACTCTGGTGTGGACTTTGTGAAGGGACCTGCAATGCCTGTGTCTGCCTCAGTGGTTTCAACATCCCAAAGCCAAACTTAAAGACCATTTTAAGGTAAGGACTGGAAGGCAGTGTGGGATACAGGTGGGTCCTGGTGATCTGAACAGAGGAGCTGACACAGCACATGGGCCCATGCAGTCGTTTGTCCAGCCCAGAGCCAGCTCAGCTCCTCTCTACCACCAACTTGTCACTTCTTCTGGGACAGATTACTTTAATGTCCATTTCTACTGTCACTCCATATCTGAGGAAGTTCAGATGTCTATTCAAATCTATCTCAAAGCTTAAAAATTATAATATATATATATATTTATATATATACTATATAAAGTAGTATATTTTTTATACACACATTTTCTGTATGATGCATTTGTTTGTTTGTTCTGTGTTCTCTTATCTCCCTGGTCTGTTTTCTAGTGACTAAGTTGAAAAACAGCTCTGTGATGCCTAACAAAGAGCAGGAGGAAGAGAGAAGAGTTCACTTCAGTAACTCATGACTGTGTTTATTTTTCTTTTCTTTGAGGGATTTGTTTTATGACTCTCACTAAACTGTTTACAGAAAGTTCAACAGCTAGGCAGAAAGTCACTCACAAGGAAACTAGGCTAAATTAAAACAAAAATGTTGGTCAGCTTCCCAGAGGAAAGAAGATTTTTCTCTGTTATGTCTGTTCTGCTCTTCCTCTCCACCCACATACTGGAGAAGTTCAAATGGGATGAAATGGTGGACTGGGTAAAGATGAAAACTGAAAGAACTGTAGCTGGTCTGGAAGATAGTGAAATTCATTTATCCATCAAAATTTCTGGCTTTTTGCAATCTTTAGTTTGAGACCAGTGAGAAGGACACAGATCTATATAAACCTGAAGTTATGTGAAATGACAGTGTATAGCAAAATTCTGCTGCATTGACTGTCTTGGTGTCCACCAGCAATTTCTAGCTCTCAAGGAGAACTCAAAGACCTCATTAGATATTATCAAGTAACTGATCTCCACAGCATCCCATTCTGCAAGTGGAGAAACCAACCACTGACTAGCGAAATGTCTCACCACTGTTGCAGAGGGGAAATGCACAGGGCCAGCTGTAGAAACAAACACCTACATCCACTGTCTTGCCAAGCTCTTGGATGGAAGAAAGGTTAAGGGAGAGACTCCCGCTTTTGCATTTCATTGTTCCTGGTGTAAGGCACATTTTGTGCAGCACGTGGTGTGCACTACATGGAGCTTCTTACACTGCCCATAAATTGGCTGCCAGGATTCCTGAGCCTGCCTCCAGGTTCTGGAGCAGGACAAGCAGCCCCTCTTTGCCCAGCAAGGTGGAGGTGGCTTATCCTACAGAGCACATGGAAGGCATGCAGCCCAGCTACAGCAGAACTATAAATTATCCTTATCTTGCAGTTTTACAGCCCAGAGCTCCAGCCACTCAGACTCTTCCTGCTGTGCTGTTTGGCAGCAGCCACAGACTTTGCAGCTTCAAGAACCTCAAGTACTGCTTTGGGCCACTTAAGTTATGCAGTAACTGAGAGGCTTTCCTGTTTGTAGGTAAACTGGATTTCATTCAGTTAAAATACATTTTGATTCAAAAAAAAGCACAATGGTATTTTTAATAAAGTTCATTGAATATAAAAATGTTCGTGACACTTAGATATAGGGCAGATCTAGTTCCTGAGTGTAGTCCTTAAAATTAGAAGGGTCCTTTCAGAGTTGCTTTCAAATTGCATGCAATAAATATTGCTTGCTTCTGACCTTTTATTTATTCCCTGAGAGAATGCCACATAAATACCAGATAAGTAAATATGTAACCAATAAGACATTTATTGAATGTTAATCAGGCTTAGAATTTTGAATGGTCACACTCAGATGCAGAGGGTGCAATGGGGAAAATTCTCAATGTCACCAACCCTAATCACAGAAAAATCATGAGCTTGGACCTTCAAAACTGGGTCACATTCATGACTCAGATGTATGCATGTGTGTGTGGTTTGATTTCTGCTTCACACCCTGTCAGACGTAAGAGTCCTGACAAGGAACACCTCCACTGCCCAATGAGCAGTGGTGTATGCATCTCTGAAGCTGCAGAGACACAAACCCATTAGGCCACTTGAGCCCTAATTTAGGCTAATCATGAAAGTGTGCTAAGAACTGAACCTGGGCTCCTGATTGGAGCATCATTAATGCAACTGGACCACATCCAACCTAGCCTTGAACAATTTTGGGAATGGGCCAGCCACAGTTTCTTTGGGTGACCCCTTCCTGTGCCTTTGGGTGATCCATCCTCACAGTAAAGTATTTCTTTCTTTTTTTCCAATCTAAACCTACCCACTTTCAGTTTAAAGCCATTTCCCCTTGTCCTATCAGTACACACCCTTGCAAAAAGTCCCTCTCCAGCTTCCTCATAGGCCCCCTTCAGCTACTGAAGGCCCACAACAAGGTCACCCCAGCACCTTCTCTTCTCCAGACTGAACAATCCCAATTTCTGTCTCAGCCCATCTTCACAATGGGAAATCCAATGATCTTCATGTTCCTTCTCAGGACTCTCCAACAGGTCCATGTTTTTACTGTGACAAAGACCCCAGAGCTGGACATGGCATTTGATGGGGGGTTTCATAAGAGTAGAGAGGCAGCATCACCTCTCTTGACCTGATGGCCATGGTTCTTTTGATGCAGCCCAGGACATGATTGGCTTTCTGAGCTGAAGATGTCTTCTTATATCCAGGGTCTCATCCACCAGCATGCCCAGGTCCTTCCTGGCAGGGCTACTCTCAATCTGTTCATCCCCCAGCCTGTGTGGATGTTGGGGGTTGCCCTGATCCAGGTGTAGCACTTTGTACTTGGCTTTGTTGAGCCTCATGAGTTTCCCATCGGCCCAATTCTTGTCCCGGTCCCTCTGGATACATCCCATCCCTCAGGCATGCCAACTGCATTGCTCAGGTTTGATCTGTAGCCAGGATGTCTCAAAGTGACCAGCTGAGGGCTCTCACTAGGTCCCCATCTCTCTAACTTTGGTGTTTCATCCCACAGCTTGTCACAGGCAAGGCTGGCATTATTCCTCTCCTTCTACAAGTCTGGTTTAAAGCTCTGCCACTGAACCCCAGCAGCTCCTGAGTGAAGACACTCCTCCTGCTTTGAGAACAATGAATCCCACCTGATGCCAGGTGCTATGTAGGCTATTGCCCTGTCAAGATCACCAAGGTTTTGGTGGTGACACCAGCCCTAGAGCCATGTATTTAATAAACTGACCCCATCTGTTTCTTCCAAAGTCACTGCTTGCAAGTGGAAAGATAGGTGAGAAGATCATCTCTGCTCCATATTCCTTTATCTGTCCCAAGGCTCTGAAGTCTCTTTTGATCACTCCTGAGCTGTGTTGTGACTTCATCAACCTGCCACATGGGAGAGCAGTAAGAGATAGACCTTACTCTTGTTTGAAGTCTGTAAGTGTCAGTCAATAACTCATTCCCAACAGCAGGAATGTGTAGAACAGCTATTACAATAGGTATTGCAGCCAGTCAGGGCTTCCAGCAGAGACATCTGCTGGATAGAGCAAGGAGGAGTGGAAATCTCATCGTCTGAGTCACTTAAAATTGAATAAAATAAAACCCTAGAGAATGTGGAAAAGGAAGAGCCTCATGAGAGAGGAGTGAGCCTCTGTGTGGCCTGATGCAAAAGACTATACTGTCATGTGAGATGGAATTGTACCTGTCCCAGAGGCAGGGCTGCTCCCCACATGTGCCTAGAGGTTGTATCCTGTATCCTTCAGGATGCTGCACATGTTGATGTGTACCCTGCCTGCTGCACAGCTCTCACTGCCTTAGGGATGCCCCTAAGGACAAGCTCTGGGCTCCCTCCAATGCCTGTGTGGGTAAGAGGCAGAGAGAGCAGATAAACCCTGCACCATGCAGGCACAGTGTGAGACTTCCTGTGGGCCAAAGGAGAGGGACTGGGACACTGCTCCAAATTCCTTACTGCCTCACCTGGCAGCTGCGTGTAGGGGCAGAGGATACCTTCAAGGAGGAGAGAGGCTGGGGGAAGAAAAGCAAATGTCCAAGGAATTCGTACATTTCTTTTGTCTGTGTCTTCCCCCTTCAGTGCTCTTGGCAGCCAAAGAGGGTCCTCTGGCCTTGGAAAGAACCCAGCTGCGTCTCCAGGCAACACATGAGAGAGAAGGTATTAGGGGGGTGGAAACTCAGTTTGCTGTTTAAGCTGGTCCTTTTCTCTGTTTCACTTAGAGACAACTGAACATCTGGATTTCCACTGGCACAGCTGGGGGTTTTACCTTAAGACTTATTAGAACAGTTTCACTGGCAGTGGAAAAGCTGCAGTTTTTTAGGACTTGATGAAAATTTTAAGAAGCGTCCTGGGTGTATTTTTGCAGTAGAAGCTGAATGTTATGACCTTTTTTTTTTCCTTTCTGTGACAACAGTAACTCTACCTTTAGACCTTATTTTTCTAGTCAAGTCTGGTCCACTTCATTTT